TTCATTTGTCTTTTGAAGCTAGGATGGGTGGACCAATTCAATACCATTAGATGTACCCATTTGAAAGGTAACATTCTTTTATACCCAATATCATTGTACAATTCACCAAATAATTGATATTACATTTTTTGTACATAGGTTTCTAAATAAAATTAAAAAAGCTATAAAGAACAAGTGTAAAAGGGTCTATTTGTGAAGCATATTTATTACAAGAGATATCCTATTTTAGTTCTCATTATTTTGCACCTCAAACTTGTGTGAATGAGGGAGTTCATGAAGACAATACAGAGCTAACATTATCTATCTTTAAGCCATTTGGACAAACGACATGTATTTATCTATATAATAAAGAAAGGTGGCTTAATGCCTTTTGCTAAAATTGCTTTTATAAATTTTCAATTTGATAAACACATTGGTAGTGATAAGCATACAATCAAATATAAAAGTAGTTATCCACTTTACTGGTTGGGTGATATATCATATAATATCATACAAAATACACAGTTTCGTAATGCTTATCTTTCCAATTCCAACCATTAAAGATGACTGTATAGCAAAAATATGATGAACGAAGTAGTAACCTTTTAATCACAATAGAAAAATAAAAAGTTGTAGATACTAGAAGTTCTGTAACAAATAGATTTCGATAAAATTATCCCATAATTTTGATTTCATTTATAAATAGTACATCATTTGGCAATTAAGCATCAATGAAATTAAAAATAAAGTTCTACTTTCAATAGTTATCTATATCTATTGTGTACTTACTAACAAGTTTATCTTTTCAAGTTTAAACCTCAGTGAGGGAAATAATAATAATTTATGTCTAACATTTAAATAACTTTCACTAGTTCAGCTCTTCCATGCATGTGGGTTGGTCAGGCCTATTTTACGCACCATCAAAGAGAAGGCCACATAACATTTGGCAGTCTTAAACCAGCCACATATGACATTTCTTGATAATATTGAAAAAATTGCCCAATGTCCTTCATATTTGTCTTCATTTTATTATAGTGAAATTATTCCTATTTTGTAACTAGCTTGTGATCATATTAACAAATCTAATAATGTCACTTAATAGGAAGAGAGAATAATATTCATGTACTTGTCAGCCTTCTCTAGTGAACTTGTTTGTGGCACCACTTGTGTTTAAAATAAAAATAACAAATATTTTACATATGAGGCAAACTGTATGTAATTGTACAAAACAAGTACAAGTAAACCAAATTGTACCTTCTTAGGGCTTTAGTAAGGAGTTCTCATCCATTACATTGGTTGATGTAAGAACTGTCTTTGTAGAACCATATTGTTGCACGTTTGAGTTCAACCCATTTATATATCTATAAAGATGTTAAGGCTCTTTGTGGCTGTTCCAAAGTTTATTACCTGTGCAAATCAAAATCAATAACTCCTAGTGAATATAATGCCACTGAAAATCATCTACACCAAATAGAAATGTTAAAGATAAAAAGAATCAATTGGTGTTAATCTAATTGAAGATATGCATGTAGTCTTTCACGTTCAAGGTATTATTGGATATAGCAATAGTCAGAGTTTGAATTTAGTTGAAAAGGGCACCTCTTATTACCTTTATTCTTACGTAATTTTTATTCTCTGTAGAACTTTCCCAAATAATTGTAGATGTAATACGTTTATTAGATGAATTTGTAAGGAACATTGAATCAAGAAATGTTTGACATGGGAATAACATGTCTATTATAACTTGGATTAAGATGGTTGGTTGATACTCAGTAGACATTGAAAAGTAAAAATAAAGAAATCAAGATATTAAGTTTATGTAAGATTGCTATTTCATTTCTTTATTTTGAATGGATGATATAATATTTTAAAAGATTGAGCATTTTTCACTTACTTTTGTTATTTATATATTTTCACTAAGTACTTTTTCATTTGAAGGAGAATTTTGAATAAAAGAAAAATGAGTTATTATCTCATAGTTTTGGAGAGGATGCAATTGATGGTGAAAAATCCATGAGCCAAATGCCATTAGATTTGGATATATGGACCAATTCAGTTGAAAAAAATAAGGGAAAAATATTTGGTCTTGGATCTCTACGCAAAATGTTAATCATATCTTCAACTAAGTAGTCAAAATTTGAAAATATTGATACTTTAAGGAGTCAAATTTAAGCATTAAATGAATCATTACATAGGCAAGAACAAGAAAAACAAGAAATGAGACAAAGAGTTACAAAATAAAAAAAATGGATAAGCTAAAAATGAGAAAAGAGTTGACTGAAACTAAGAATAAAATAGCAGTCTTAATGCAATACTTAGAGTTTGTTGTATCTTCTTCCTACCCATCTTCATCATCTTAACATAACAATGAAAATAATGATGATGATGAAGACAATGATCATATTGAAGATAGTAATATTTACAATTTTATTCTTGAGTTATTATAACACTTAACTTAATTATTGAAGGTGATAATGAAATTACAGAGAATTAAAGATATGATGTGATTTTGACAACAACAATAATTTTCTTTGATGCATTTTTTTGCAAGGCTTTAAAGTTTTGAATTATTTATATATATTGTTTTGATACTTTAATGTTTGAGTTTAGTCATTCACACTTTTTCATTTGAATTTTAGGATTAAAGATTTGATATGATTCTGATAATGACAAAAATTTGCAGTACAATTGTTGATCATTTGTTATTCAGATTACCTGATTATCGTCTTGGAAAGATCTTTCAAATCTAACAAGGTTGGAGATATTCTACCAAAATTTGTGCAAGTAAAAATATATTTGTAAATAATTATAGATTTAGATTCTTAGTTAATTTTGAACTCTTGTTATTGTTTGTTATACAATAAAGTTCAGTCTTAAAATGAATAGTAGTAATATTACATTAATTTTAAATAGTAATATTGTTTACAGGAAATTTGGTGAAATTTTATTGCCAAGTGTTGCATCATTTATGTTTTGTAACTTTTCCTTAATGTTGTCCTTCTCAAATTAATACAAACCAAATTGTTTGCTCAACAATTAAGAACGTAGTTATTTTGAATACCTAAGAACTCAACAATGCAAGGGAACAAGGTTTTCTTTATAAATGAGTCTCGTGTTTCAAGACAATTTTATGTTTTCAAACATTGATAGTTTCATTTCATGCATTTGTGATAATTATATTCATATGGTATTATTTTGCTTTGTTTATGTTTTGTTTTACAATTCAAAGAGATCATGTTTACGTAAGACTAATGTTAATTTTATTTTTAGCTTAGTGTTTTAGTCTAATAAACAAATAAAACTTTTTTTATAATCATTTAATTATGTAATAAAATAAAATATATAATAAAGATTTTTTTATCAATTTCATATATATATATATATATATATATATATATATATATAATTTCATATATAATTTTAAATTTATACAAACATTTTTGTAAGTTTTCTTAAAAAAATATCCTCATAAGATATTACATGCGAATTTAAAATTAACAAAAAAATTTCCTGCGAATCTAAAATTACAAAATAATTATTTGTAAATTTAAAAATACTTGCAAATTTAAAATTGATAAAAATTTACATACAAATGTAAATGGGTAAGAAATCACATACGGATTTAAATGACAAGAAAATATATGCAAATTTAAATTTGCAAAATTTGTTTACAAAAAGTTTTGTAAAACTTTTTTGAATATTAAATCCCTGAATAATTTATTATCCATTAAATAATTACGTGTTAATAAAATTGGTATGAAAATTCACAAGAAACTTGTTTTCTGCAAAATTTGGAAAAAAAATCCATAAAAATTAAAAAATTCTAATAACTTAAACCATAACTTTTTTAATAACATAGTTATAAATAGAACAATATGTTATCCCAGCCAAAATATATTTTTATTTTATAATTATTATTATTATTATTATTATTATTATTATTATATCATTTATTTTATTTCTATTTTTCATATTTTTAATATAATATCTAAGATAATAATTTATCTTCATTAACATAAAAAAAATTAAGAATAAGAAATAATTTTATTATTCTTAAATATTATATATATATATATATATATATATAATTATCATTTAAATCTATATCATTTTATCTATAATTTTTATTTAACAATTATACCGAAAATGTGGGGAAATATTTAAAATTGTTAATACTTATAAATTATAAAATTAATAACAAATAGACAAAAGTTATAAATAACTAAATGATATGTTATATGTACGGTGCAAAAAGTTTTAATTTAAATCTAACCGTAAATTATAAAAATATTATGATATTCAATAAATTAATTTCAGGATTCAAAATGAGATAATTATATAAATTGTATTACTCGTTAACATTAAAATTGTATAGTATCATTTTTATTTCAGAAAATAAATATTTATATTCTCTTATCATTTGTGACGAGTCTTAAATTAAAGAATTATATTTTGTACGAATTTTTATTAGAATATGGTCATATAGTATAATGAGAAGATCTTAAAATTTCGATGTGTCTTAAAATGAAGAATAATATTTAATATATTTTCATAATATTAATATTAAATTATTTTTTGAAGTTATAAAATTAAAGTAAAAAATAATAAAATTTATAATTAAGAATTAAAGAAAAATTTATAGTATAGTGAAAGAGGTTCGCTACATTAAAATGAGATATCATAATTTATTAAAAGACCAGCTCAGATAACATGATACGCATGTAGTGAACTTTAGTGGTGATCTCTATCGCAGATGCTTATAAACTCGACCGCTTGTGTTGGCAGATCCTCTTTTACGTGTCATGCCATCACACTTGACTTGCCACCTATTCTTTCCTTCGGAACATGACTCATCCCTACAAAATACACGTCCCCTCGTCACAGCAAGACGCTAATTAATTCTAGCTAACTCAAAACCTCTCTATATAAATATATTATAATACTACACTTCAAATCCTACCATACACATACTTCAGGCACTCAAAATTTTCCTTCATAATCTTTTTTCTAATTCAGCAAAAATGGCAGGCAAGGAGTCTAAGTTCCCACCTCAGAGCCAGAAAAATCAGCCAGGAAAAGAACATGTAATGGATCCTCTCCCGCAAACCATACGTACAGACTACAAGCCCGCCAATAAACTTCAGGTATATGCACAATAATTTACCAAACACATTATTATGTTTTAGTGTGTTATAGTGTAAACATACTTTTTAACTACGGTGTTAGCAAGTCTTTTTACTTAGAAGTTAGTTTATTGGTGTGTGGGCATGTACAGGGAAAAGTGGCGTTGGTGACAGGAGGTGACTCAGGAATTGGCAGAGCGGTTAGTCTGTGTTTCGCTAGAGAGGGTGCAACTGTGGCCTTCACATACGTTAAGGGACATGAGGACAGGGACAAGGATGATACTCTGAAGATGCTGCTAGAAGCTAAGGCAGGTGGTGCAGATGATCCATTGGCAATAGCGGCGGATATTGGCTTTGATGAGAACTGCAAACAGGTGATTGACTTAGTTGTGAAAGAATATGGGCGCATCGATATTCTAGTGAACAATGCAGCTGAGCAGCATTTGACAAACTCTATAGAGGAAATCACACAACAGCAGATTGAAAGAGTCTTCGGCACCAATATCTTTTCACAGTTCTTTTTGGTCAAGTATAGAGAGAAACATCCACGATAGATATCATTTTTGACGTTAGGCTAGAGTGGAACATACATATGTTGAGCCTAATGAGTGAGGAATATTGTGTTTGTGCAGGCATGCTTTGAAGCACATGAAAAAAGGGAGCTGCATCATCAACTCTACTTCAGTTAACGCCTACAATGGGAATCCAGAAGCCTTGGACTACACTGCTACCAAAGGAGCTATTCTTGCCTTCACAAGAGGTCTTTCTCAGCAGCTGGCGAGTAGGGGAATCAGGGTGAATGCTGTGGCACCTGGCCCAGTTTGGACGCCAATACAACCTGCTTCCAAGTCTCCTGAATTGGTTCAGAACTTGGGGTGTGAGGTGCCAATGAAGCGTGCGGCTCAGCCTAGTGAGATTGCACCATGTTATTTGTTCTTGGCAACTTGTCAGGACTCTTCCTACTTTACTGGCCAAGTCCTCCATCCAAATGGTGCGTGACTTATTCTCTTTGTGCCTTTGACAGTAACAACTAACTATGTTGAGAGTTTGCTTTACACATTCTTTGGTTGTCTGCAGGTGGAGAGATCGTGAATGCTTAATGCTGTCTGGTGACAGCTTTTATTGCTTCGTCTATTTGCTATTGAACTGGTGTTTCTGTGTTACACCCCCGTGAATAAGCAGTGTTACTTTCGGATGTATATTTTACGATAAAAAAAATACATTGTGTTTGTAACATTTGCCTTGAGATAAATAAAGAGTTATGATTTTTGGTTGGGTTACTTTTTCAAAACATCCATCAAATAAACAACTTTTTTTTATTATTTATTTAGTTGTTTCTCTCCATGGAAATAAAAATAATATTTTATAAACAATTATTTAAAGGATATAAAATAATCATTTTAGGATTATTTATAAGATGTTTGGAAAATTTGGCTTGGGTGCCAAAAACTCTTTTTCCTAATTGTGTGTCAAAATGTTTATAGCTATAGGATATTTTTTCTCTATTAAAAAAATAAAAAAATATTTAATATTTTAGGATTGTTATTTTAGGTTTTAGAGTTGTTTATGAGATATTTGAAAAAATTAGGGTCAATCAATCAAAATTATCTATTTTAGAATTTTAGGATTGTCTATTGAATATTTAATATTGGGTGTCAAACTCTTTTTCCCTTTTAATTTTGATCCATTTTTTAATTTTGATCCATGTCCATATTTTTTATAAATAAACTTTAGGCCAGTTATTTGTATATATAACAACGTTCTTCAAATCCTGAACTAAACCCGGCCGTAAACCGGTAAATTTAACTATTGTCATGTTAATAAAATTATTATAATAATTCAATAATATATAAAATAAGTTAATATCATAATTCTATAATTTAAATAAATTAAAAATTATATAAATGATTAATAATATTTAAAATAAGTATACAAGTTAAAATGAAATAGTAATAATTGCCGGTCTGTTACTTTTATCTTCTTCTAAGAAGAAGCTTAAAGGTTAAGCATTTGGCTTTGCCTCAATTGGGTGTGTATTGGTTATTATTAAAAATAACATTTTGTGGCTAAAGGTGAAAGTCAATTGAATAATACACCATCATTTTGTGGCGATTCTCCCTCATTTTGTGGCGATTCTCCCCAAGCGATTTTCCCTAATTCTCCCCAATTGAATAAATCATTTTGTGGCGATTTTCCCTAATTGAATAAAACCTAAATTGAATAAAACACCATAGGTTTTAGCCGATAGCCAAAAGCCAACACCATCAGGTTCTAAATAAAACACCATCAAGTTCTAGCTGAATTGAATAAAACACCACCAGGTTTTAAATAAAACACCATCAGGTTTGATAACCAATTGAATAAAACACTATCAGGTTTGATAGCCAATCTGATGGCCAATTGTGTATTATATCTGATGGCCAATTGAATAAAACACCAGGGTTCAGCATGGTGTTTTAAATAAAACACCATCAGTCATCGGTTCTAGCATGGTGTTTTAAATAAAACACCATCAGTCATCAGGTTCTAGCATGGTCAGAGCCAATTGAATAAAACACCGCCAATTGAAGAAAACACCATCATGTTCTAAATAAAACATAAAACACCATCAATTGAATAAAACACCATCATGTTCTAAATAAAACATAAAACATTATCAGCTATAAGATTGAAAATGGTTGTTTCTAGTTGATAGCTATAAAGTTGAGAATGATTGTTACTTTAAAAATGATTGATAGCTATAAGATTGAAAATGATTGTTTCTAGCTGATAGCTATAAAGTTGAAAATGATTGTTACTTTGATTACTAAGCAACAAACATTTTGTTGTGATTATCTAAATAAAAAGCCAATTAAATAATACACCATCAAGTTTTAGCGGATAATTATGAGGTTGAAAATCAAAATGATTTGATTTATAGCTTGAAAATGGTTGTTATTAAAAATAACATTTTGTGGTGATTTTTTAGGCAAAAAGCCAATTAAATAATTCACCATCAAGTTCTAGTTGATTCCTATGAGGTTGAAAATGGTTTGATCCAATATTTGATTTGAAAACCTTCAAAAATCAGCTGTACTAAAAGCTTCTGATAAGCCCACAACTGTTACTTGAAGTTGGATGCGTATAACTCTCTCCGTACCACTAACAGAGAGATTTCACTCATTAATTCCAAAAAGAACAATATGTCAACATTGATATCCCTATAGATTTCATCAGGCATTGGTAAATTCATTAATTCCAAAAAGAACAATATGTCAACATTGATATCCCTATAGATTTCATCAGGCATTGGTAAACTGAGGGATATATTCATCTTCGTTACGGGGCTATTCGACTAGTCTTCCCCCTCCATGGAAGACGGGGATTACTTGTCTAAGCCAGAATCTCTCTCTTAGATTTCAACTATCTCCATTATGAGCATGCCATTATTGACACTGTTCTGACTACTCTTCATGCTGGAAGTGTAGTTCTCACTATCTTTCCCAACTTCAATGTTAGCTTGAAGGATTCCACCATCTCCCAGAGAGTAAAGGTTCAGATTCAGATCACCGGTGCTGAACAAATGGCTGATGCACTATCAGCTACTCTCCATTATCAGATTATCTATAGGTTACAAGATCATGCGATAAATCTTGCGTTACCATCATGTAAGGACGGAACACTATTCGTCTTGGCCAATAACTAAGATGAGACACCCTCCATAGTTCAAATCCCCAGAAATATCTCTTCACAAGAGCTTCACAAGCTTATTCAGATGTAGTGAGTGACTAACTATAAGAAGTTCTACAACAATCAGAAACTCATCCTATGAAGGTGATATCTAGGTGTAGATTTTCGCCCATCCAATTTGGAACAAAACCTATGGTTTGTATTTCTAGACTTATATGGTTGATAAATCTCGAAGTGTCATTGTAAAATTTGGTGCAACTAGAATTTCTCCAAAAGGGACATTTCATAATTTATCCTTCTTAAATAAACAACCGATACTTATGGAGACACTAGTGACGAGGATGATGATGATGCAAATGATGATGATGACTTCAAAGGAGGACCCTGCAAACCTCCGTTCACTCCTCCCAGGATTTGAACCAGGAAAAGGCCGTGGATAGGAATCCACTGCTAAAAAAAGCCAGATCCCTTGTGAAAATATCGAAAATACGTTGAGATCCTCGAAGAAGAAGAAGAAGAAGGCCTTTTTTTCTGAAGTAGATTTTTTATATCCCATTGGAGGAGATTTTGTGATTTGTTTGACAACTGCAAGAGCTATTTTGTAGTATTTGCCTTGAAAAGACTGTATACCATCCATTAAATTTTTTTTTTAGGGGGAGAAGAAGATCATAAAGAAAAAAAAGAAAGAAATATATAACTTTTTATCTCTTCTGTGAGTCAATATGACTACTTAGCTTCAAAAGAATATAAAATCAGACTAGTTAAAATAAATATTGTCCTAAATAAAGTTCTAAACCGATGAAATAGATAATATCATAAATAAATTTCTAGAATTTTTGTATCTAAATAAAAAAATAATAATACATATAGATGATATATCCTTAATATCATAACTCTTATCCACGTTAAGATTAGTAAATATAAATATTGAATCAAACCATTTTCAACCAACCTCGTAACAGAAGCATAAATGCTTAGACACGTGTAACATAAATGTAGCACATTTGATCTTCCACGTCTTCTGGTATAACTTTATAATACTAAACATTAAAATAGAACAAACGTATAATTATAAGTTATTAATATTTAAAATAATAGTAACATAAACTAAATATAAAATATAAATGATTCAGTTTTAATATTTAAATTACAAAACTCAAAATTAAATATTTCATCATTTATAAAAAATTTACAAGAAAATTAAATATTGATTAATTATAATAAATTTATATAAAGAAAATAACATTTTAAATATAATATCTTTTAAATAAAAAAGTTAAAATAATATATTTTAAATATTTTTTTAATTAAACTGATTTAAAACAGCTTTTCGCCAGATAAATTTCCATTAAATTCTAAAGTCAGAATTTGTCGAAGAAAATGAGCACTTGTTATTTGCAAAAATTCATACAAACCAAATATACATAAAGAGAGGGAGAGAAAGATAGCACATATACACGCAGAGAGAAGGGATTCTTCAACATGTAATTGTTGTATATATATGATATAAATATAAATTTTTGTGTATCTCTTACTCATAAGGATTGAGATTAATTTGAATACAAATTCTTCATTTATAAACTTAATTCTATTGAAAATTAAAATCATACGGGCCCTCTGGAATCAAAATAGTGCTGTAAAACAGAGAAAGTAGAGGAAACGAAAAAGCGACAAACATGTAAGAACAAAGAGAGGTCCATTTTCTCAGTAGAAAGGGTGGCTCAGTGAACTAATGATATGTAATTAGAATTACAATTATTGACCAAATGCAGGACGCATACCAACAGCCACATTGGTTATCAAGTCGTCTCTTGCATTCCATATCCCTTCCTGCACTAGTGAAGACAACATGGTAGATTTTCCCATCCGAGCTATGTATGCACAGCATGATGTCCACACTGAAAGCAACACATGAAAAAGATTAGCCACTTTTGGGAAAATATAATAGAGAACACTTCCCTAACTTCTCTTAACTTTCTTTCTATCACCTTTAATGGGTATCACCAAGATATGGCATTGTTAAGTTCTTCTAGTTTAATTAATTAATGGACTAGATGCATGAAGTAAACCTGATGACATGAAACAGGAATTTCCACTCCAACAGCAACTATACTGTAATTGATCGAGGAAGCATTTGAAGTAGCATCCACAACCAAAACTCTACTCTCTCGAACAGACTTCTCTTTTATAGGCAGACCTGAAGTTCCCCCAGAGCAGATAGTGTTGGCAGGAGATGAGGACCGTTTTGAGGTAAGATCAAGGCGTTCAAACATTCGTCCTACACCGGCCATGCCTGCTTTCATCTCACGCTGAACACCTTTACTCAGTTCTTTAACTGAGGCATTACGTGCAATCAACTTCTCTTTAAAACCACGAGTATTTTTGGAAATTGATTCTTTGCATCTGTCACAATATTTCATATAAATATATTAACACCGAATGGATTCCAAACTTCGAATAAGAGCATGAGAGAGTTCATGCACAAACTCTTTTACCTGGCTGAAGCAGCAGAAAGTTTGGATTTGACGGACTCGGGGATGGAAAACATCTCAGAAGTCTTTAGTCTCCTCGCACTTTCAGGTGATGGCTGGCTATAGATAACTCTGAGCACGCCAAGGAGCTTAATGAGAAATCAATAAGTGAATAGGGTTAGGGAAACAAATGAATGCACTGCTTAATACCTAGGTTTGGAAGGCATGTCATTCTCAGAAGTATTTGTTGTAACCATGCCAATAGAGGAAAAGGCAGATGTTGGAAGTTGATTGTGAGCAGCAAAAGGTACACCAGGGGTTGGTGAACTACCTCCAGAGGGTGAAGTTGTAAGTGCAGGTTGCATCCCTGATGCATGCTTAGGAGAGTTAAAAGCAATAACCTCTGAAGGACCTGCTCCAGAGGATCTCTGCGTTTCACGTCTGCAGATAAAACGAGCTCTACTTGAAGCAGCAACTACATGCTGCACAAGTTGTTCATCAAAATTAGACTCGTCTAAATCATCCTGTGACAGAACAATACGCCTCATCAATGAATGACCATATATTTTACTCAAATCAATGGAGTGATACTTATATCAACAAAGGCTATACAAATGAATTTTAAATAAACCGAATAACACTTTCAATTCTTAGGTATATCACTCACATGATCATTGTTAAGCCGTTCAAGGAAGCTATGATAATTGGTGAATGCATGTGAGTGTACAGTTCTTGAGCTTAAGTGTTTTTCAGCCTCCACTGCATTTAGAAGCTCTTGGCTAGGAAATAGATGAGTGATTAATTAAAAGTTGGAACTACAAAGGAAGAATATTCAAAGGTTTGAACAGAAAGAAGAAGTTTTCTAACAAAAAATAAATACCTGGCATTGTCTTTCAAGACAAGTAACTGCCAACATATTGGGCATTCTTTGCTTCTCTGCGACCTGGGAAAGGAGATTTTTTAAAAAGGGAAAAAAATTCACAATTACTCATTACTTCCCAAGTTGGTTAGAAGATCAAAAATAAAACATCTACTGATGAATTACACTTACCATTCAAGAATACAGTGCAGATGATATTCATGTTTGCAACTGGTAATCTGAAGTTGAAAAAGAAACATATCAGTGAATAATATCTTTTAAATGTTTATCTACAGATGTATATAGTTGATCCTACGACCTACAGACTGCAAAAAATTCGCTTTTGAGATTCAATTGCTCGCAACTCTGAACTAATCTACTTAAAGCATGATACTCTGATTAGACTTAGACATCGGATGAGTGCTTACGAAGTTCAACACAAAACAAAAGTCAACTCCTAGATTTAAAATGATTAAACTCTCAGTCACAGGTTTTAACATCAGTCTTGATCCTCAAACACCCAGATCAAGATGTTAAACTATGTGGTACAAGAATGAAAGAAAATAACCCAGCAAATATGCACATTGTGTGTAAACTCATTTCTTTGTTTCTTCAACGTCGCATGGCAAAACAGATACACGTGTATTTGTCTCAAAAGAGTAAAATAAAATAAAAACATGCATTCTATTAAAGGAAAAAGACCTACCATGTAAAATGTTAAGTAAATATACATATATGGAATTCCCAACCATACCAATCTTCTAAACCTACAGCTAGTAGCCCATCAGACACCCAAACTTAGAACTAGAGCACCCATTAAGAAAGCGCACGAAGTGAACCTAAGACTTCATCACACACAAGTTTCATCTGATGAAAATTAAATAAGAATAAAACGACCGAACCCATAAATCCAGGGAATGGGATCATTCATCATTCAAGTTTATAACTTTTGGACAAACCAGAAACACAATGAAAATAGAACAAGTTAAGCTAACGGGTGAGAGAAAAAAGAAAGCAAAAGAGAATGTAGCGGTGGTTCATACGGCGGCGGGGTCATGGGTACTGAAGGGCTCAAGACATATGCTGCAGGCGTCCTCGGAATTGTCGTCGAGAGCCGCAGAGGATGACTGAGTTGAGATGTGAGACAGAGAAAGAGACGGGGGAGAAGAAGAGGAAGAGGCCATGGGTATCTGCACGCTGGTGGAGAAGGAGAGGGGAAAGAAAAGAAAGTGGAACGAAGGAAAGTTAGTGAGTGAGAGAGAGTGTGTGAAAAGGTTAAAAGACAATGAATGTGAAAAGAAGAGAAAGGCATCAAACGTAGGAAAGTTCCAATTCAGATTTTCAGACGGTTTGATTCTGATTTTGATGGAATCCAATCAATCAAACCCTTCATAATAATTGTGCATTGTGTCATTATTATTAGGAAAATGATACTTAGGAAAATTATTATTATCATTGACGGTGATAAATAACTGATATAATTCATTTTTAAAATAATAAATTAATACTATAACTCATGAGAACTGGTATTCAAAATTTTAAAATTTAGAAGTAATTTATATTTCACTTTTGTTTTCTATATACTGATACTTAGTTTTTTTTTTGAAATAAAATTAATTTAAAATACTTGTAGATGACAAAAATGGGTTAGGCAGCTTTATTTTGCTCTTTCGTTTTCATTGCTAAAAATAAGTTGGAGTGTACTCATTTATTATAATTATGATATGATGTAGATTTTGGTTGGTTCTGTCAAATGATAGGTTGGTGATTAACCGACTGATACGTAATAATTTAAATAAAATTATTTTTTATTTAAATTAAAATTTTTCATAAATATAATAATAAGATTATTATTTTATTTGTTAATAATTTAACATATATATTTTAAATTAATAATATAAAATAATACGTTATTTTAAAAAATTATAATTTAAAATAATAATAAATTTTTTATATAATAATAAATAATAAAAAATATATATAACTAACATCAAATTTTAAAAAATTTATATTTTTTATATTGAAAAATTTTAATATTTATATTTTTTATTTAATAAAATTTTTATGTCTTTAATTGAAATCTTAAATATAAAAACAACAAGAATGAATAAGGAAGAGACTATGAATAACAAGAAAGAAGAAATAAGTTGAGTTTGTGTTTGAGTAAATAAAATGTTTCTTATAACAAGTTAGATTTTTTTTTTAATTCTTTTTTTATAGTTTTAAACTTTATTTATATATTGTGTTTTATGATTAACTGTGTTACAATAACAAAAATATTTTCTTATTGATGAGTGGACTGCGAACTGAAAACACCAATCCGTGTCCGTTGGACCTGATCCATTTTATCATCTCTAAACTCAAACAATTAGATTTATTGAGTCAACTAGTTGAACAAAATTGAGTTTATGATTAATATATCTCTCTCACTCACTTTCTTGATAATTATAAATGTATCTCTCTTTTTATTGACACAATTTTATTATATTTTTTTCTTTTCTCTCTTTACCTTTTTATTATAGTTCTAGAATTCTTTATTCACAAGAAGTTAATATTTTCTAATATCAAGATATGAATAATTACTTAAAGGTTTTGTGCTTATAAGATATCCAAACAACTTTATTTTGGCTCTTGTAACCATAATTTCTTCTTTCACCTTTATACCTAAATCAAATATATAAAATATTTGTTTCATAATTTTATTTTTTATTCTAACTTTTTCTTCTTGTTCTATTTGTATAACTTCTACACCTCCTTTATTTGACTATTTGATTTTTTTGTACTATCACTTTCATTGAAGATATTTTCTAATAATTAAAGGTAAGTAATAGTTAATAATATGTATGAATTACATATTTATACACTTAAATTACATAAACAGACCCAAATTGCTCAGTCTGAAATAATATCACGAAAACGTGATTGAACTGTGGAAGAGTTAATTTGAAAATATATTCTAGATTGAGTGTTCTAGAATGACTAATCTGAAAATGTATTTTAGATTGAGTATTCCAAAAAATATATTTCGAAATGGATATTCTGAAATACATTTTTAAAAAAGTCTTTCTGAAAATAATTATGAATTGAGTGTTTTAGAATGTATTTCTAGAAAAGTAAATCTAAAATGTATTTTGAAAATAAAGATAAAGATAGTGTAAGAATAAAATAAGATTTAATATAATTATGGAGGTGGAGAAAGCATTAGTCCTTTATTTCAGCCGATTTTATTTTCGGCCTAACTCGATCTAGGCCTGAGGCCCATACATAAAGTCGAGCCCATTTTTGATATTGGTCGGAACAATGGTATTTATATTGGTAGCTTGATACACAATAAAATAGTTCATCTGTCTATCTACTCATGTGATGATGGACACCAGCACGGTCTCACTGTTGTCGCCTCTTCCCACTTTGCGTCTTCTTTCATCTGAAAAACTAACTCCCACTTGTCGCATTCTTCCTTCTCACAACCATTTTCTCAGACACTTCTCCTACCCTACTAACTTTAATCGGACCTCAAAATTCAGAACTACACAAGCCCTTCTCAATTCCTCTCCCATAACCCCTACAGCGGTCACCACTCCCACTCTCAGAGAAATATGCCAAGCTCACGTTCCTGAACATATATTGCAAAGGCAGTTTCAAGACTTTTCTCCCGTTTTTCTTTCCTTTTTTCCTGCTTCGTTTTTTTGCTAAGAATTTGAAGAATATGTTTCAGGATGGAAGAGATTGGGTATGTAGTGCCCACGGATATCCAGAGGGAGGCTTTGCCTTATCTTTTTTCTGGGCTTGATTGCATTCTCCATGCTCAGGTTATTTCTTTTGACCTTTTGGTTTTATTTTTATTTACTTGCGTTCCGATCGATGTTAATGTGTAGCCTTATTTTAATTCCTATTTAGACAGGTTCTGGGAAGACACTCACATACCTGCTTTTGATCCACTCCATCGTCAATGCTGCAAAATCCTCTGTGCAAGCTCTTGTTGTGGTGCCCACCCGGGAACTCGGAATGCAAGTAAGAATGATTTTCCAGATGTGATGTCATAACAGCATGGTGCTTATCTTTACTGCAACATGTCATGGGTAATTCCCTTGGAAAGGCCCACTACTGAGTGCTAAAGAATAAACAAATTTCAATTATAAGGTCACTAAGGTCGCTAGGACATTGGCTGCAAAGCCAACTGGAGTCGTTGGGGAGCACAAGTCATGTTCCATCATGGCTCTGCTAGATGGAGGAACACTGAAAAGACACAAGACTTGGTTAAAGGTAGAAATTGTCTTTTTCTTCAATGAGTTTTATTGCATTGGATTTTTAACCAAATACATTCAGTGACTAACAAATGAATGCTGCTGCAATTTTTGAATTCTACTTAACACCACAGAATATCCTCTTTTTTACTCTTTATGGAGATTATTAGAGTAATGGATTTTCTTGTATCTCATATTTTTCTACCTTCTGATTAAATTTTATTGAGTCTTCCGGACAATATCTAATTATGTCCTACTGTTGATACAATTCATTTATACTCTAATTTCTTAATTTCCTCTATTTCAGTTTTTGGCAGCCACAAATATTCGCGGATGTAAAATGCTCTGAAATTATAGATACCAAGTGTCAATTAAGTTAGGGTACTGATATTTTGGAATAAATTGGAATAAAAACACTTAATGGTTTAACAGTTTAAAGTTAATTGAATTAGTTAAGCAATTGTGATTTTTAAGTTAAGAGACCGTTATTTAATGAGAGTATTTATTATGTAAGCTTGTAGATGTGGTCAATTGGTCTATAGCTATGAAGCACTGACTCCAACACGGACACTAAGACACAACACGGACACGGGGACACGGCGAACTTCTAAAATATAGGACACCGGGACACCTTATATATATATGACATGAATAGAAATTTAAATATGATTCAAATAAGAAATATATAAATTAAAAATTAAAATTTGTTCATTCATCTTCTTAAGATAAAGTTGTTAGACTTTACAATTTTCATATGATATCCTAACCAAAAAATACTAAGAAGCACTATTTCACAATATAAGAACTTTGTCTTTTTACAAAAAGAAAGTCCTAAAATAAGAAGATGAATCAAATCTATTAAAGACAATGGCCTCCATGATCATCATCATTGAAAAATACACTCTCTAGCTCCGGTTCATCAAGTGATAAATTAGCAACTTCAAGCATTCCACTCTCATCAAGTGATCCAAATGTATCTCCTGCTATGTCCCACATTTTTGTTTCCTCTTGGTTATATTGTGGAGAATTCCTTAAAAGAAGACGGAGGTTGCTATGAACAAATACTAGATCTTTCGTCCTATATGGTGCCATCTTGTTTCTTTTCATAGAATGAATGAAAGAGTAAGTGCTCCAATTTCTTTCACAACATGAAGAAGAGCATGGTTGCCCAAGTAGTTTAAGAGCAATTTTTTGAAGTATTGGAGCATGAGCACCATAAACAAGCCACCAAGATTTTGCATCCATCTTACCCCTATCACTTAATAAATCAATGTCATCAAAACCTTCTCTTCCATCTGAAAAATTTGCAAACTCTACATTTCCTTATTTCCTCATATCCACATCAACAAAATATCTTTTAAAACATTTCACCCTTTCACGAGTAAGTTCCATATCTTGATGTGGAGGAACTCTATTAGAATCTTCACTTAGCCATTCATGACTATAATATCAACAATATAAATAAAAATCATGATTACAATAACCTATAAAAATGTAACTAAAATTTTATTTAGGAATATAAAATATTACCTTAGATTTAAAGAATGTGCTAAACAATGGAGAGGTGTGCTACTCTTTGTCCAACGTTCAATTAATATGGAGTGCACAACATTATAAAAGCTTGATTCTTCACTTTCCGCCTTTCTTTCATATCGATAAATGGCCTTTCTCACATTTTCAATCATTGAGTCCCACATTTCATATACTAAATGGAGAGATGAAACTTTCGTATCTGTTTTTCTTAGAACATCATAAATGGGACTAGTGAAAGAAAGTATATAATCAACCTTATCCCACCAAACATCATCCAATAATGTATCTTTCACAAATTTAGCTTTTCCAACATCATCTTCCTTGTAAGAAGACCATTCATCACTAATAACCATCTCTTGGAGTCCTTTTTTTCAATTGCTTAAATCTCTTAAGCATGACTATAGTAGAAGCAAATCTTGTTGGAGCAACGGAAAACAACTTTAATGAGTTGAATGAGTTGAAAATAGATAACCTCATTGAGTGACCCATGATGAAATTTTTTATGAACATAGCATCTTCTCCTATATTTGTGATCCAAGAACATTTTTTATAAGCAATATTTTTTTTTCTGTGTACTTTGCTGCACATATACTTTTCAAAACAAGATTTAGAGTGTGCACAACGCAAGGGGTCTAATAAATACAAGAAAAATCAGCTTCAATCATTAAACCTGCGGCCTTACATACAGGTGCATTATCAGTCACAATTTGCACCACATTTGAAGGTCCAACTTCCATAATTACATCTCTCATTTGTTTGGCTATAAAATCTTTGTCTTTAATCTCAGCAGAGCATTCTATAGCCTTCAAAAACATAGGTCCACTCTCTGTAATAGCCATGAAATTAATGAGAGGTCTTCTTTGGGGATCACTCCACCCATCACTAACAATGCTAACACCTTTTTGAATCCATGTATTTTTTATTGGCTCCAAAAGTTTCTCTACATGTCTTCTTTCATTAGCAAACAAACTTGTTCTCAACTTATTATAACCTGGTGGTTGATATCCACTTACATAATTATTGGCAGCAAAAGAAAAAGCTCTCCTATAATAAGGATTTCTTGCTAAATGAAATGACAATCCCGATGAGTAAAACATCCTAGCAATTTCATAGTCTAATGTCTCTCTAGCTTGCATATTGAAAGTTTTATCTAGTGATCCAGATATTTTCCTTTTTTTGAGATCAACACCATCTATAGATGATTCATTAGAAACCGGAGGCAAAGGGACAAATTTTGCCTTAGACCTTTCTATCTTCAATGTAGCTTCATTGTCTAGCTTTGTTAGTTCACCAAGCTTCAAGGGTGTTATTTTTTTACAACCTCTAACTCCCTTTCCCGTAATCTTCAACAAATGTGTTCTCATTCTAGTATAAGATCCATTGAAAGTAAGGTTACAAATATTGCATTTTACTTCATAATTTCCACCACCTCCACCAACACTTTTTATCTTTGTAACATATTCCATAGGGGTTTGATATCATCATCTTGTAAAGGCTGACTAGAATTACTCATTTCTACAAAAATGAAACCAATAACATATGATTTTTCTATGTTCATAATTCCATAACTATCGCATTCTAATAAAAAAATGAAACATTATAAAGGAAAACAGAGCAAAACAAAGACCTAAACAGTGGACACCAAAAGAGAGCATGATGCAGTGGAATACCTGAACAACAATGAAGACCTGAACGGCAGAGAGCAAAACAGAGCAAAATCAACAGCAAAACTTCAATTAACAGCGGATGAAAACAAAGCAATCCCCACTTTTGAATTTCAGATCGCTTCCAACGGTCACTCTCTACCCCTTTCTCTTTCACAAACCCTATATTCCTCCCTCTCTGTAAATGGGTTGGAATCTCATCTTCTGGCTCTTCATTTGTTTCCCTGCCAACATTGCCCTTTTCGCCTCTACTTTTTACCAGGTTTTGGTCAACCCGTTTGACGCTTTGTCTAGGCTTAATCACTTCGTTGTTCTGGAGTTCATTGGGCAGGGAGCGTTGTGTGCTCTGTGCTCTCGGATTAACTACACAGTAGCACGCAGCAGAAGAAAGTAACTGAAAGCAAAAAAGGAAAGCTTTGGAGCAGAAATGGAAATGTGCAGAGGAAGGAAGGAAGGAAATGTACAGAGGAAGGAAGGAAGAAAAGCGGGAGAAAAAAGAACATAAATAGAAAAAAATTCAATTTCTTTTTTTATAAAAACTATACCCGAGTCGGAGTCGTGTCTGACACTGTGTCGGATCTAGGTCACGCCGTGTCCACCATGACTCGAAGTACCGCAACGCATTTTTGGTCTAGGGGACATTGCAAAAAGGAGTCGGACGTGCATCCTCAACATGTCGTGGCGGTGTCGGTGTCGGACTCGCGTGCGACACGGGTGAGGGGAGTCGTGTCGATGCTTCACAGTCTATTAGAAATTAATAGATGTGTAACTGAATCCTATAAAATTGACTTGAAAGGTGAATTTGTACTAAAATTAGAGGGTGGGATATGTTGTAGAAAGAGAAAGATATTGCAAAACCCACTATGCACCTTCTGCAAGTCTTGGTTGTAGTTGCAAAGCACACTTTCTCCACACACGTCTAGGTTTAGTGCTATGCAAATCTTGGTTCTGTTGCTAACAAATGTGGTTGCTGAATATTAGGTACAAGTGGGCTGAAACGTTGTGTGTGGGCTGTTACGTAGAGATGGGTCTATTACCTATACTTCACTTATAAATAGGCCACTTCACACTCCTCCGAAAACACACCTTACTCATCTTCTCTTCTCTTCCCTCTCACTTCTCTTATCCTGGGTTTATACACTCCTTTAAAAATTTCTTGCTAGTTTCTGAGTTACTTGGAAAATCCAGGAAGTTCCTGCTGTATCCTGCGGGACTTGTGCAATACTCTGCCGATAAGTCCTTAAGGACAATGATTTTACATGCCTCAGGAATCAAGTTTTTTAATGTCTCTGTCAGCTTTTACAACACTCCAACATAGCCAAAATGATAACCTTTGTTCTTATGGATATTTGAGTTTTATGTAGTTTTGCCTTTTTGGCCAAATAAATAAACTCTAAAACCTTACTAAAGTCATTGAAAAATAGATTGCACTCTCTATATGTTTATAATGCAACTGGTTAGCAGATGGGGTGATGACCATCGCAGATTAGGCATCACTGACCAATTCCTTGTGTTTTGTGTGTTTTTTTATGCTTTAGACCTCTGTAGCCAAATGGTTTGAATCTCCTAAAAGTCCATGTAGTGCTTAATTCTTGTATAGTGTAGAGAATTTTTTGTTTAAATATTATAAGTTGTAAGTGCTTATTTGATCTTATGGAAGTAGTTTATGACTTTCCTTTAAGCTCCGTTTAGCTTTTTTCAATTAGCTTCATGTTAAAGCTTATCAAGATAAGCTCTTTTGGTTTATTAATAAACTCTTTGATAAAAGCTTATTGAATAAGTGGATAATTAAGTTGGTTACCCAAATGTATCCCAAACCTATTACATATGCCATGAGAATGACATATGACAGGTCCTTTTGGACACTGCTTCCATTTACTGATTTTTATATTCTCTTTAACTAGTCACTGGCATCATTAAGTCTTATTTAAGACCCTTTTACTGCTCCTTTTCCTTGTTTAACTTTCTCAAATTTCAGGCAGAGCCACCAACAATAGTGGTTGCAACAGTTGGGAGTTTATGCCAAATGCTTGAAAGACATTTTTTTTCGCTTGAAACTGTGCGGGTGCTGATTGTTGATGAGGTAAGAGTTTTGAATTTCAAATTAAAGTCACCCACTCTCAATACTTTAGTAAAAGCGAATTCCCAAATATGTCTTGTTTTTGTTGTCCCTGTGTGTTTTAAAAGTAAAAACATATGACTGAGCTATAGTTGCTTTGAAAAAGTTATGAAGTTCAGGGCTCGGCCAAGTGAAACAAATTAAAGGTAGTTTAAAAGTGTTTTTTTAGCATATTATATTTCATTATTTTCACATTTTCATGAGTGGAAAGCAGTATTACACCTTTTGGAAATCACCAGCTTAGAATTATATATGCCCTCCTACTTCTCTTTTTCTTTCTGCCCTCAGTAATTTCATACATATTTTTTTTCTTATTATTTTGTATTATTGTCTGCTTAGGTTGACTGTATTTTCAACTCTTCAAAGCAAGTGAGTTCCCTTCGAAAGATTTTGACTTCACATTCATCTTGCAATAACCGTCAGACAGTCTTTGCCAGTGCATCTATACCACAGCACAACCGATTTATTCATGACTCTGTGCAGCAAAAATGGACAAAGGTATGCCAATCTAATTGTATGTTTGTCTTTCAGGTACCTTTAAACTTTCTGTCTAACTTCTTTTTTTTGTTTTCCAGAGAGATGTGGTCCATATTCATGTCAGTGCAGTGGAGCCCATGCCATCTCGCATTTATCATAGATTTATAGTAAGAAATTTTGCTTATTGAATAAGTAAGCCTTGTGTATTTCTTATAGTACCATGTCAAAATTTATGCATCTTTCTCTTTCAATGCTTCCCTGGCATGTCTGCCTGCCACGTTTAGATCTTGCAAAGATGTATAAATTTGTTTAAACTTCAATTTCAACTTTTTGTTAGTCACTTGTTTATTAAGAACTTATTTTAATTCTTTTTCTATTTCAATCATCAGAGATGTGAAACCAAAAGAAAATTACAAATCCTGTTATCCTTGATACAGTCCGATGCACCTGAGTCTGGCATTATATTTGTTACTGAGCAGGTATGCAAAGAACTTTCTCCTCCTCGTTCAATTAGATAGCAATCTTGCATCGATGGAATTATGCAATCAGTAGGTCATGATCTGGGAGTGGATGAAGTTTACTTTAAGGTTTAAACATTTTACATTAGTACATGACTTACTTTCCTTTAAAATTTTTCAGTAGTCCCAGGCACGAGATCATTCACTGATAAAATCCGTTCCCTTGTTGTATTGCTATTTTGACAAAAACACAAACACATGGGTAACAAACTATAGTATGCGTATGATTTTCTCACGAGGTTACTTTTTGCAGAAGATTTAGCATGAGTATGATTTTCTCAGGAAATTACTTCTTACATTTTAGAGGACCAAAGTCCTTTATTCTGTTATGATAATTTCATGGAACACTGCTTAAAATTCATATTTGTAGGACTTGGTTGCATGTACCATCAATAATCAACAGTTAGCGCCATTCAAATGATTAACCCATATATCTGCATTGAGTGTCTGTTTGACTTAGTCATGTAATGTGTGAAATCTATCGACTAATATTTTACATATTCTGTTATGCAGTCCGAGAAGTCCAAAAAGGCTGGAAAAACTCCATCAACATCCCTTCTGATTGACTTTTTGAAGATATCATACCGGGGTGATTTAGATGTCCTCCTCCTTGAAGACAAAATGAATTTCAATTCACGAGCAGCTTCACTGTTGGTAAGTGCCTTTCAGTGGATTGATATTGTTAGGAGGTTTCTTTGGTAACCCCTTATTATCTGTTCCCCGTGCATTATTGACCTCTGTATTCTACATCTAAATTCATTTTAACAGTCATCCTTAGGTCTAACTTGTAGCTAGGTTTGAAATAAGTTTGATTAAACAAGTCAAACTCCTGTTCTGAAAACCAAATTGTACTGTTTAGTTTTACCGTATTAATTGGGAACCAGCACGTATAGGTATAGATACCACAGTTAATTTATAATAAAACCTTGGCAAGAAATACCAGCAACACGTTCTCTTTTCCTATTGGATGAAATACATGTAGTCATACTGTGTGACTCTCATTCTCCATTTGGTCGGTCCTATTCCCAAACTAGTGGGACTAACATAAACTACAATTAATAGGAAAGAGTGTGTTGAAAACAGTGTTAAAAAGTGTGTTGTTAGCACTCTTCAACCTCCATGTCTATACAAAGGATTATGCATGGGAAGAATTGAAACTGTCTTTCTACCAGTATTGCTGCTGTGTACTGCTTTGTCCTTGGGAAACAAAATAGTCAACTAAACTTTAAGTGAACTCTTTGATGAGTATTTGCTGGGGATGATGACATTGACCTCAAGTGGGAAAATTTAGTTCAAGAGTCACCCCAATCCTTTGCCTAAAATGTACTAGATTTTTAATTCTTGATTTGACTTCTATTTAAACCTTCTCATAAAAAATTCTTCAGCCTGTCGGAGGCGTTAGCATTAAAATGTGTATTTTGTGAGTAAATGACAAGTTAAAAATCAAGGGGGAAAGGTGATTGGTAACAACAGTTGGTTGTCTCTCTGATTCCAGGAGGTTAGAAAAGGAGGTGGCTATCTTCTTGTAGCAACAGATATAGCTGCTAGGGGAGTTGACCTTCCAGAAATGTCTCACATTTACAACTTTGATCTGCCAAGGACTGCTATAGATTATCTTCATCGAGCTGGCCGAACATGTAGAAAACCCTTTTCTGACATCAATTGTACTGTTACCAGCATTATTGTTCCAGATGAGCGATTTGTTCTGCAGAGATATGAAAATGAGTTGATGTTTGAGTGTGAAGAGTTTATTATTCCATAAACCTTGGCTATTTTAATCTGATCGACTATAAGTATAGTGTGCCTTAAATTGACTCTATTTTCATAGTTACCTCATTTTAAAAATCGTTTTATATTGTTGATGATCTTGGGTACCGATAGAAATTAAAATAACAAGCTTCTAAAGAAAAGAAAATAAGTCCGGACTCTGCCAAGAAGGGATGAGTGCATGGAATTCCAGCTGCACTCTGATGGAGAGAATCAGAATTCTAGAAAAGATAATTGTTGAAAGATTTTTTTTTTTTTTGGACATGTTTGGAAGTAAGATGCTGGAAGGAAGAAGGAAGGATAATTTTTTTTGTAATTTGAAAATATTAACTAAACAAACATAAAGGGTGCGTTTAAATAAGTAATTTGATTAAGCACTTGCTCAATTATCTTTTATTAGAATACATTTTTTAAGAAGGTTATTTTAAAGTTTATCAAAATTATTTCATTATCTTCGTTTTTTTCTAAATTTATTTAAATAAACTAAAAATAACATAACTGGAAATTGAATATACTTTTCCTAATGCCACCTAAATAAGATGAGTCGATTTATAAATATTTTGAATGCTTTCTCAATCATCAATTTGATAGCTGAAGATGAACTGGGCCATGTTAAAAATAAGACTGTAAATGGGCGCAAATGGTTGTATTGTACATTAAGCAGACACATTTTAAGTTCCAAAATCTCAGCCTTAAACGAAGTTTTATATTCTGCATTAACCTTTTTTTCTTTTTGGAAAAAGTAAGCTTATATTGTTGGAAATGGAATGGAATACATACATAAGAACACTTTGACTACCATAATACTTGTCCTGAACTTTAATCTTTTCAAGTTATCCAGACTTCAAATTCAGAAGGCTCATTATTCCTTCCCATGAGTTGAGACATGCGAGACACCCACTTGTACCTATTATATTCCATATAATTATGATACTTTACAATTATTAACAAATTAATTAATAATCACTTAATAAAATATAACAATTTGATTATTTATTATATCACGAATATATTATTAAGTTATCATGAAAAAAATAAGGATATTAAAACCTATGTATGACCATTTCTACAACGGAAAAACCTATTTTAACTCTTTATCTCAGTATTTATAATCAAATTTTTACTTATCAATCTCTTACTTAAGAACATTATTCTTCATTATTATCTACGATTTAACTAATACTTTAAGCGATCAAAATTTTCATCTCAAAAATGTAATATATATATATATATACATATATATATATATATATATATATATTATTGATGCGTAAAATGTGTACTTGGATTGATAATTAATTATTATATATAATTTGCATAAAGTGGTCCAGAATTGGAATATGAGATGTGATATGATATATGTGAATTTATCTCTATCATTTCGACAACATATTGATACTTAATGTTTAAGTGTTTTTTTCAAAAAACTATTATTCATAAAAAAGGTAAAATAGTCCCACCTTCAAATTCATGGCAAAAAGGGTCAAGCAAATCACGGGGAATTTATTATATGATTAGTCCATCTTCAATTACTGAGTTTTTCAATACAATGGTAACCCCAGAACGGATGTAAAACCCTTCTGAAGATCTATCAGCCTCTTGTATGCCCTGTAATTCATTAAAAAACATATTTAGTACACGTTTCAGCATACAAAAAATCACTGCCTCGCTTGTGGTATCTAAATGATTTTATTTATAGTTTCTGCTATTGTTGAATTTTCATGATAAAAATGTTTTAGGAGTATCAAAACCCCAAATAAAGTTGATCAATTTGTAGGTGTATCAAATAGTCTTCTTGTAATGCTATATTTAGAGTAGTTTCAAAAGCATACCTCTGTGTTTGCTATTACAACATTCTTTCCGATTCTAGCATTTTTGTCAATAATACAGTTCCTGCAGAAATGCGAGAAGTGAGTAAAACGAGAGAAAGTAATGGTTAGGGTAGTGAGCATTGTAATTCATACTTGATTTTTGTATTTTCTCCTATTCCTACTGGAACCCTTCCTTCAGCTAAGAGTGCTGCCACTTCTGCATCGGTTTCATAGAAATCAGCACCAAGCATCACCGTATCCTGCAAAGAAGTGTAGTGCACCAGAAGTTATTATAGAACTAGATGAGCGCATAACTAAGTAAGAAACATACCGAATTTATGTTTTTCCAAGAATATTATTATTATATTTCTGCTGAACAAAAAATTTGAAATGATAACCAATAAATTTGAGACTAGCTGGACAATAAGAACAAATTATGTATATATATAGCAATGTTGATAACGATATGTATCGTCATCTTTCATAACTTTTCAAAAATACATGGTTAGATGGTAGAATTGGTGCAACAAACCTTTAGATGAACATTTGAGTTTATTCTGGATCTGATTCCAATAACGCTGTGCTCTATTAAGGAATTATTCAAGAAGCTTCCATGTGATATGATTGAATCAACAATCTGCATTAGAGGAAAAATAACAATGTTGTGGTTTGAGATTTAAAAACAGAAAAGAGGTGGTTTTCTGGTGTGGGATGGGGATACAGTATGTAAGGAAAATAAAATGTTGAACATCCAAACACATGAATATTCCCCCACATTCGTAGGTACTGCATTCTGCATGATATATAGCCAAGCAACAGTATTCGAATAAATTGTTTTGGTTGTATGCCTAAAGTTCACTGTCCTCCATGCAGTAAGGCTTCGGTACGTGTCTAGTTTGAATTACTAACCAAATTTCTCACGAGCAAGTTTGAAGAACTGACCTTGCTATTGTCAATCTTTGATGGTGGTAAGTTTCTCCTTGATGTATACATTGGTTTTGCTGCATCGTAAAAGCTAAACCTGGGTGGCTGAAGAAAATTACAGAAATAAACTTTTCTAGGCAAGAATGATTTTGGATCTTAATCATTGAACAAGGAAAATAGTTCTATGAAACTAAATTAAAAAGGGTGAAATGTTTATAGTCAAGTTTTTTAAAAAGAACTCAATTCATTTCTTATGTTAACCTCTGGAACGACATTCCACTAATTACTAATGAACTCAACACATTCTAGTCATTGAAGCTCAAGAAGGTGATTTTATACTCACATGCTCAGTGAGTGCAAGATTTGCCTCAAAGAATGATCTGATGGTCCCTATGTCTTCCCAATAATCATTGAAGAGGTAAGCCTGCATACAAATTGTCACACCATTGGTAAATAGCAAGCAGAAAATATTCCCTTGTAATGATTTTTTCAGTCATACCTTCATATAAAATTCTCTAGCTGAGGCAGGAATAACCTCTGATCCAAAGTCGTTTGCAGTTGGAAAGCGCCATCTAAATTAAAGTAATTTGTAGCACTAAACAATCAAGCTTTGCAACAAGATCAGTTTATTCTCAGTGCATTGTTCTGTATTTTTATAGAATATATTAACAGATGAAGTGAGCAACAGGAAAAATCCTATCATTTTGCTAGGTCTTAATCAGTACCTTAGAAGATTAAGAAGTATCTCCTTCTTGAAGACGTACACTCCCATGGATGCAATGTATGGTTTCTTTTGAGCCTCATCCTTCGAAAGGCCCAAAACGGTTGTATCTACTTTCTAAATTATAAAGCAGTATGTATTAGCAGTGAGTCTAATTCTTGAAACTTTTTTGGGGTGTTAGTGGTATAATAAACATGAAGTTTACCATTGCTTTCAACTCTTCTCCTTTAGGCTTTTCACTGAATGAAAGGATCCTTCCTTTGTTGTCTATTTTCATCAGACCAAAATCTGAGGCACGGCTGTTGTGGTTGTGAAAAGAGTTTAGAACAATAATATATGATAAATATAATTAAGCTTAGATATTGATACAATTTTTTCTCATTTAGATTTATCTTGAATACATTGAATGCCTTAAATACCCATTAGTATATTAACAATAAGAATATCAAGCTAGTCGGATAGAAGAAAGAGAAATGAGCCATGGTAATGTCATGCTATACATCTTGGTGATCATGCATATTGAAGCGTATGGGGCACTGGCACCAATTTCTATGTTGAAAAAATTGGAAAACTGTGTGAGGCAAGCAACCAACCTGTCATCCATTGGCAGGCAAGAAAGAGTGATATCTGCACCACTCTCCCGATGATTCTGCATATGAAAATGAGTGGACACATCTGAGAGTCAATAATTTGATTGCATCATGAATTGAAATGGGGAAGAATTGCTTGATTGTATAGCACAGTGCCTTACTTGAACAAAGTCCATATAGTCCATTCGATAGAGGTGATCCCCAGAAAGAATCAAGACATCCTCAATGTCCTTGCTTCTTGGATCCTACAACATGGGAAGTATGTTCACATTGAAACTCCCAACTAGCATTTAGATTCTTCTCGGCCTTTGCCGTGATGAGGCAAAAATAACAAAAGGAAAAATGAAACGTAACTGTAGTCTATAAGTTAAACATTTTTATTCAAAATTAAAGTTTTGATGCTCAGTGTAAATTGTCAAATAAATCAGTGTTTTTCTGAAAACTATTGCACAAACAAATTGCCTCGAGAAAATGGCCAATTATCAACATATGATATTGTTCTCATTTGTATATATCTCAATAGTTTCCACTCTTTCAGCATGGTTGTGGAAATAGAAACTCATCATTTGACTAATATCAAATTAGAAAACTAGCAATTCGTAATGTAACCCCTTCCCCTAAAAACAGAATACATCTAAATGTTCCTGGATTGATTTCTACATGTCAACCCCTTAAATAGTGAACCCAAGAATGTTCCTAAAACCCTGGAGTTGAGTAGCGGCAAAACCAGATTTAACAAGCAAAGCCTGAGAAATTTTAGTCAACAAATGAATTTAATCTTCGGTAATCTGAAATAGAAAACTCTATAGTTTGTCATAACAATTAAATAACAAGAAAGTGTTTTTCCACATCACTGATCTATTTCCATTCTCCAATCTCCACTTCTCACCCCAAAAGCAAAATTACAAACGTAGATTATAAAAAAGAGATTCTATATAGATGTTGTAGTTACATCAATCACTGTAACTTGATACCTCAAAGAGCCAGTGGAACTGCCGCACAGCATCAGCAGTACCTTGAAACCACTTTTTACCTGCCTCCCCTGGGGTTTGGGTTGCTGCAAGAACCTGAAACAGAAATAGAGCATGCCTTCTTCTAAGCTTCAGGAGCACTGGTCTTCATTTACTCTTATAAGCTGACTTAAAATGCAAGCAAGTAAAAGATGGAACATGATGGGAGATACCTCTACATAGCCATCTCCAAAGGTGACTCCACTACCGGAGTTGTAAGCACGTGCAATGTGCCTGTTGAGTGAGGCTGAGTTAAACTGAGTGAGAATGTACACCTTGTTGATACCACTGTTGATGCAGTTACTCATTGGCACATCAATCAGCCTATAAGCACCTCCAATAGGAACCTACCAAAGTAAACTCCATATGGATAAATTTATGTGTAACAGTATACCATTATGATATGATATCCCATTAGTCGTATTTTTCATTTTCTTGCTGCCCAAGGTATTACAAAGTAAGCAGTAGTTACAGGAAAATTCTGCCTACAGAAACAAAATTTATAGATTAACAGAGTTTATGTATATAGAAATAGGCACCATTATGTTCATAATTGATAGAGTAGCTAAGAAAATTGTAAGATAGAAAGAAAAGAAACTTACAGCAGGTTTGGCTCGTCGCTTAGTGAGAGGGAAGAGACGGGTTCCAGCTCCTCCACCAAGTATAACTGCCAACACTGTCCTTGGATTCCTTCTTTCCATTTCTAGGTCTCTCAACTGCACTAACCCATATTCCCATTCATCATGTTCAAAACTATATAATGTTATACACCAACTCACAAATTATGCATGAACCCACATGAAGAGCTTTTGTAACCTTTAAAAATTAATCTGTGATCATATGGACTCGCATTAACACTTGTTACAAAATTTGTGCTTAGTTTAAACATCAATAAATTTAAAAACATAATATATGACGATCAAGTGTTATATTTAAATTAGATTTAATTTTTCATAATTGATCTCAATTGCATATTAAAAGCCAAAACAACAAATAGTTGCTTGCTTCCAACTTTTCAACTTTTAGATTTGAATTGGGGGATCAGAAACTATTCTAGTTGGTATCTAAACACGCATGGGTCCCGTATAGTAATGATGGTGATGCGATGGTGTTAAGTGTCAAACCATTACAGTATGCAAGGGTCATGGTATATTGAACAACTGACTTCAATTTAATAAACATACGTTTCTGACAAGGTATGTTGTATATGAACCACGGTCAAAACGACAAGCCAAAGAAAATAACCTTTGGTTGAGACATACTTTAAAATAAAGAATTAAAAACAACAAGTTCTAGGCACGAAATTTAGTGAGATTCAACCTATTGCACTATTACTCTTCTATCCCTTCTATCTTACCGAGATTCTAAATTTCTGTTGACATGTTTTAACTCCAATGCTTCTTTCTTGACTGAGCCGTTTGTTTGTACAATGATGTCAAAAAGGAAGAAATTATAAATATTTAAAGAGCATTACTTAAAACTGAATTACATACATACAGATTAGTCAAAATCACAACTATCTGAATCCTATAATTTCTGGTGGAAGAGAAGGAGAATAAAAGGAGTAAGGTAAACCTTGGTTTCAGTGGATATGTCAGCCGTGAGAGACATGCATGTACGATGTTGCGGCTTAACATTCTTAGTATAAGCACTTCTGGCAGCACCACTTCTTAACTCAACCTTACGTCCCATGAATTCCCCATTGCAAAACTTGACAAGCTTCCAGTTTCTACTACACCCCACTCCATGCAACTGCACGGTTGAGGAGACCGTCATCTGGCCGCCGGCAGAGGCTGCCATTTTTCCAGGGAGAAAATGGGAATTTACGTACTTGGTAATTCAAGGTTGCCTTGTGTGTGTGTGTTTGTATTTATGTGTTACACAAGAAGCAGAGAGCAACCATGAATGTGTGTAGTGTGTAGTGTGTGTGAAGATTTGCTTACATGCATATCCGGGTATTTTGGAGGATTGGGCCACGTTATCCAAATTCAACAGCATCCACCAGTTTGGTTTGTGTTTGATATTGTTATTACAAAATAAGTACACATGTCCAATGACACTTTAGTCCTTACATTTGGTTTGGCATGATCAATTTACTAATATTCCACAGGAATTTGATCATTTGCAACACCTGTTTGCTGAGGAATTATTCCTTGTGCTCTAGTTCCGTCCACAAGTTTCCAACTTCAAATTTGGTTTTCAGTGGGAAAAAGTGGTTTGGTTTCTATTAGCCTCTTGTAGTATGTCTGTAGTTCATGCAAAATTAAGGAACATGTCTCTGACCATGGAAATTATTACCTAATGATTTGATTTTGTTTCCTCTTTGATGATTTTTAAACAATGCAGACATTGTCAAAGCAATCAAACTGGTCGTGATTGCATTTAGTGAATTAAAAACTTAATAAAAGCGTCAACTGTTCATGCATATCTCACGTATATCCGGGACACGGCTATCATCACTCGATTCAGTTTGCCATTAGTAATTTCAAAGCATGGCAGGATTCTTGTTTCAACGAAAATAAACATTAACTTAGTTAGGGAACTGGTCAAGATTGATTGCAAAATGAAGAATTCCCTCAGGGAAATATGTGCTGGCCTTTCTGTCGCAAGTAATGATGGTTTAATGTTTTTCAGAACTATGAAGTTATATCTATAATCATGTATAATGAGATTTATTTTATATTATTGGAGAATAAAAATAAAAGTTTTATAATTTTAAAAAAATAGTTATTATAATATATATATATATATATAATAAAAATATAAAAAAGAAAAAGTAAATATCTTTTAAAAAAATAACATTTTAAAATAATATTAATAAAAAAATATACACAGACGTTTTAACACCTATATTTCTATTAGTATAAAATAATTATGTTAATTTATTATTTTTCTACGTATATTTTAAAAATACAACAAAATTGTTCTTACGTATAGATTTTTACATCCTTCACCCAATAAACAACTAAAAAATAATAATATTATATTAATATAATTAATTGTAGAATAGATGTTCAAGAAAATATTTTTCTTAAATGTGACAAATGGTTTAAGGATCTAGCTATTTTTCATCATTTACATCATAAGATTACTTGTAGTTTAGATTCATGTAACAATCTTTCGGTGATTTTTTGCAGTAACTCCAATGATTTAGTTGAAATTGATTTTGAAGTAAAATTATTTATGTTTGGGTGTTTTTCTTTATTCTAAAAACAAGTCAACAGAAAAGTAATATATATATATTTTCTGTTTAATGCAGTAGTTACATAAAATAGCTTTAATCCAAAATCAATTCTAGAAACTTTATTAATGTTTCTTTTTTGTTTTTTTAAATTTTCAAATTTTGAATCGATACATAAGGTTTAAATCCTAGATAAAGTCCCGAAGGATGTTGTGCTGGTTGTCACCAAACATGTGTTCACCCTGTAGTCGATACACCGATGTATATAAATCCGCTCTTGCCGCCATCTATCCTCGGAAAACCCGGTTCTTCCTTCTGTTTCTCTCTCTTCGATTTTCTCACCATATCTTCTTCTCAATTCCCTCCAACTCCAAGGTTCAATAACCTCTTTTCCTTCACCATTGCTTCAACAACTTGTCCCCATTTGCCTCCCTCGCAATAACCGTTCAACTCTTCCACTTTAACCTCCAAGACACCATATTAATTAACAACACAACACAACACATAAATCTTATCAACAAACACGTACCTCATTCTTCTCTTCTCACCTACAAATTCACTTCTTTTTGTTTTACACACGCAGCCAAGTTAAGCATCATGATGTCATTGGTGAAGTACTCAGCATGGCCTCTGAGCAACCCTGCTTCCTCAAGTCACATTCCAAGGCCTCAACTTTGCACGATACCTTCTATCCACAATGTTCAACACAACACCAAACCCTTTCTCTCTTCCCTCAAACCTCTTCATATTTCATCCACTGAGAACTTTGCATTGCCAGCAAAACTCAGTAGGAGGGTCACAGAGTGCCAGGCCTATGAAGCAGATAGGTCACGGCCATTAGAGCTTAATATTGAGCTTTCTGGCGAACAAGCAGGGATAGAAGCAACCCAGAGGCTCAAAATTGGTTTGTATTTTGCCACCTGGTGGGCTTTGAACGTGGTCTTCAACATATACAACAAGAAGGTTCTGAATGCCTTTCCATACCCCTGGCTTATTTCCACTTTATCCCTTGCTGCTGGCTCTCTCTTGATGTTAATCTCATGGGCCACAAGGGTTGCTGATGTTCCAAAAGTTAATCTTGAGTTCTGGAAGGCCCTCATTCCTGTAAGCAAATTTTCATTTTTTTCAATCATTTTATTGTATTTCACAACTGCTCATTGAAAGCTTTCATGTTTACAAAGATAGACCATCATGTTTGGATAAACTTACGGATAAAAATAACTTATTCACTTTATTTTTATAAAAAAGTGTCTAAATTAATTTTAAGTTATAAAACAATTATGGTAATGCTTATTAGCTTTTATTTTCTTCTTCCATAAGTGCTGGTTGAATTATTTATCTGAAACAGGACCATAATCTTGGGTTCACATTATTTGCATTACATGATGCAAAATAGTGAAGAGATTTGGGGCAAAAGATATTATAATGGTCAAACATTGTCAATTAGTAGTACTTATTGGGGAATTATAAATTTTGGGCGTGCAGGTTGCTGTGGCACACACAATTGGCCATGTTGCAGCTACCGTGAGTATGTCCAAAGTTGCAGTTTCATTCACTCACATCATCAAGAGTGGAGAGCCTGCATTCAGTGTCCTGGTATCAAGGTTCTTGCTAGGGGAAGCATTCCCTGTGTCAGTTTACCTGTCATTGGTGCCAATTATAGGAGGTTGCGCACTTGCTGCTGTGACGGAGCTCAATTTCAATATGATTGGTAAAACTATTTACTAAAAATTTCATGTTTAAAATTCAGATAGTGACTATGTTCTCTTCTAATGGAAAAAGTGGATAAGATGTTAATTTGCTATTAGTTCATCAATCTTGGTGAGATTTAAATGCTCTACAAGGACCTCTCCACATGTTTCAGGATTTATGGGCGCTATGATATCCAATTTGGCCTTTGTCTTTCGGAATATTTTCTCAAAGAAGGGGATGAAAGGGATGTCTGTTAGTGGAATGAATTACTATGCTTGTCTTTCCATATTGTCTCTATTGATTCTCACACCTTTTGCCATTGCTGTGGAGGGCCCAAAGTTGTGGGCTGCAGGCTGGCAAACAGCCTTGTCTCAGATTGGTCCCAATTTTGTCTGGTAGGTAAAGTAATCTACATATCTCAGCGTGTTGTTAATTTATTTTTCTTTTTTCTATTCTTTATCTCTTCAAATTGATGGAACTGTAATTTTAGATTATTGTCTGCATATGTTTAGTTGGATTATACAGGCCTCAGAACTGGCAATTGGAAACCGTTTTCTAGAATGTGCAACATTCTTGGATAAAAAATAAGCGTGTGATGAACAAGATGATTTACTACTTCTAACAAATCAAATAATTGATAATGTCCTAAAACATGGCTAATGGATCTGTCGTACATTTGATGAACTAAAACATTGCCACAATTTGATGAACTACTGGGTTTCATTTTTACAGGTGGGTAGCTGCCCAGAGTGTCTTTTACCACTTTTACAATCAAGTCTCTTACATGTCTCTTGATCAGATTTCTCCCTTAACATTTAGCATAGGGAACACAATGAAGAGAATTTCAGTAATTGTGTCTTCAATCCTTATCTTCCACACACCAATTCAGCCTGTCAATGCTATTGGGGCAGCCATTGCAATTCTTGGGACCTTCCTCTACTCGCAGGTACACTGTCGTTTCTTTTATTTGTGTTTGCTTACACAGTAGAATACCTGTCTGTTTGAGACTAGTTAAAATCATTGATGAAGAATTTCCATATATCTCTCAACATTTAACCTCTTATGAGTTATAAGTGGAAGTTACATAACTTAATCCGTGCAAGCAAAATCCATATTGAGGTGTGTAGGAGATCTGATTTGGAGATTGTACCCCCTACAGATTTTCGGCAACATTACATGTTCTTCATCCAAAGGAAACTTAAATGTCCTTTCTTTGTGTTCTTTATTACTAACTTTTGAAGGGAAATTTGAATTTCATTCATGAATAAGAGAATGTACACTAACACTGCCTACTAATAAGTTTCTGTTAATTATTTGAGCAGGCTAAACAGTGAGGTGTAGTTTAGAAGCAATCATGTAACCAAGTGACTCATGACAGGAGCTCCAAACTGTCACTGATGAGTGATCACAATTGAAGTTACTGAGAAAGTATATACATACTGGTTCAACAGGATTTTAAGCTGTTTTCTTTGAGGCACTAGGCATTTCTAAGCCTCATTTGATCGGGTTTTCAGAGCAGAATAGATGAGCTTTTTTGTTTCTTTCATATGATACGATTTGTGAAAGATGTATTGCAGTAAAGGTTTCTTGACTAATTCGTCAAACTCGTATGTTTACTGTGCGATGCACAGGTTGTGTTTCTAAATATTTTGTCTATAGAAGTATATTTAATTGATTAAAGTTGTGTGTTAAAAATAAATTAATTTTGAAAAAATGTATTTAGTTTTGTCATGAATTTTAATTTAATATTTTATGAATTTTATAATTTATTTTTTTATTATCATATTTAATGTGTTATAAACAATAAGTGACTCTAAAATACTAATTGAGATAGAAGTCTATATTTCATATTAATGCTTCTTTATTTGAAAAAAAAAATCAACAAATTAAGTGCGTGCATTATATTTTGTATATATAATTTTTGAATTGAGACATTTAAAATTGTTTCCAAGTTACAATAGAAGAACATTCACATCATAACATAATCATATATTTTTCTATTTTATGTAATAATTTTATAATTAAATGTGTAAATTGTGTAACAATGTCATACATATTAACAATGTCATACATATTATTATTTTAAATTTAAAATTCAAAGTTTGAAGGAAAATTTAATTTTTAAATCATAGAATAAAAATATTTATGTATATTTATAATATTTTTTTGTTTGTATTTATTATATTTATTTGATCTCAACACTGATGATTAAATTATTTCACAAACCATCACACTTACGTCAAAAAGAAAAGAAAAAAAGTTAAATAGTTAAAGCCCTATACAAATAAGGAAAATATAATAATTTCAAAATTTCCGAAAACAAGAGAATAGCAAATAAGGTTCTGTATTATTTAAAATGAACAAAATTTCCCATCATATAACGGAAAGGTGAAATCAACGTTTGTGATTTAGTGTTCCTTTCTCTTTATTAATGTGATTTTGTAGCAAACAATATTTTGTAGTAGATGTTAAGGTTTTTCTGTTTTATTTATTATTCTGTTTAGCAATTTGTTAATAGTGCAGCATTTACTCCTAATCTGTAGGGCAATTTCCAATAAATTAGGGTCACACTCCAACTGAGATCTATTCTGTTTCTCAGTGACTTTATTTAAGTTAGCAGTTATCTTTGAATAATATACAGCAATTTTACAACTTCTTCTATTTTCCATTTACGTTAACCTTTGCCTTCCTACACATTTTATATATTTCAATAATTGGTATCAGAGTTCCGTAAGGGGCCTGATCCAAACGGTGAGTGAGTTGTGAGTAAGTGAATCTCTAAAAGAAACCCACGATGTCTACTTCCGAATTTGTGCAGCCCGCTATTCCCAAATTTGAGGGTCATTATGATTTTTGGTCAATGACCATGGAGAATTTTCTTAGAAGCAAAGAATTGTGGAGTCTAGTGGAGGAAGGGGTTCCTACACGTGTGATTAGTACAGGACCCGGTGGAGAGACTCTATTGAAAACTGTGGAGGAAGCCAAACTCAAAGATTTGCGTGTCAAAAATTTTCTGTTTCAATCTATTGACAGAGAAATATTGGAGACTATCCTTGATAAGAGCACATCACGGGCAATTTGGAATTCAATGCGGCAAAAGTATCAAGGTTCTACAAGAGTGAAACGTGCACAACTCCAAGCATTGCGGAAAGAATTTGAGTTACTCACAATGAAAGAAGGGGAAAAGGTGGATAATTTTATGGGCCGCATCATGACTGTGGTAAGCAAAATGAAATCCAATGGAGAAACGATGGAACAGAGCACGGTGGTGAGCAAAATATTGAGATCTCTAACTCCTAAATTCAACTATGTTGTTTGTGCTATAAAGGAATCAAATGACCTCAATGTTCTCACCATTGACGAATTGCACGGAAGTTTATTGGTGCATGAACAAAGAATGCTTGGGGTACAGGAGGAAGAACAGGTGTTGAAGGCTACTCACGAGACCACCAATAGTAGAGAGGAGCGACCTAACAGAGGCAGAGGTCGTGGTGGATTTAGAGGAGGTCGCAGCGAGAGGAAGAGGAAGACAACCCTTCAACAAAGCCTCCATGGAGTGTTTCAAGTGTCATAAATTAGGGCATCTTCAGTATGAATGCCCTGACTGGGAGAAGCAGGCAAATTATGCTGAAATAGAGGATGAAGAAGAAATTATTCTCATGGCACATGAGGAGCAGCCAGGACACGAGGGTGAAAGATGGTATTTTGACTCTGGTTGCAGCAACCATATGACAGGAAACAAGACATGGTTCCTGAACTTGGAAGAAGAATGTTCCAAGACAGTGAAGCTTGGAAATGATACACATTTGACAGTAGCAGCGAGAGGTAGTGTTCGGATGCATGTTAATGGCATCACCCAGGTCCTGTCCGATGTCTACTACATTCCTGAACTCAAGAATAATCTCTTGAGTATTGGACAACTACAAGAAAAGGGTTTAGCCATTCTGATTTCAGATGGCTCATGCAAGGTGTTTCATCCTGCAAGGGGATTAATTATGAAGACTGAGATGAGTGGGAATAGAATGTTTTATGTGACAGCATCTATGGCTCCCACACATTCGTTATGTCTCCAATCAGAAACTGTCAAGGCTAGAGAAGCTAGAGAAGTTTATTTGTGGCATTGTCGCTTTGCACACTTAAATTACAAAGCCTTGAGTATCTTGGCTGCCAAAGAAATGGTACTTGGTTTACCTAGTTTGGCTCCTCCTCAGACAACATGTTCTACATGCTTAACAGGAAAACAATCAAGAGGATCATTCCCAAACCAAAGTACTTGGAGAGCATCTAAACAATTAGAACTCATACATTCAGATATATGTGGCCCTATCCAGCCAGTCTCGTACAGTAATAAGAGGTATTTTCTAACTTTCATTGATGATTTTTCTAGGAAAACTTGGGTGTATTTTTTGCATGAGAAGTCAGAAGCATTGGCCAAATTCAAGGAATTCAAGGCACAAATTGAGAAGGAGGCAGATGCACACATCTTGTGCTTGCGGACAGATCGTGGAGGAGAATTCCTCTCCAGTGACTTTATTGAATTTTGTCACACACAAGGCATAAGAAGACAATTAACTACCTCCTATACTCCTCAGCAAAATGGTGTGGTTGAACGAAAGAATAGAACAATTATGAATGCGGTTCATTCTATGCTCAAGGAGAAGCAAGTTCCCAAAGTCTTTTGGCCAGAAGCTGTCAAGTGGTGTGTGCACATCCAAAACAGAAGTCCTACAGCTGCTGTAGAAGATATTACTCCAGAAGAAGCCTGGAGCGGCAGGAAACCTGTGGTGGAATATTTCAGAGTCTTTGGGTGTGTAGCCCATGCGCATATTCCAGACCAGAAAAGAGTCAAGCTGGATGACAAAAGCAGAAAATGTGTTTTTCTGGGTGTTAGTGATGAGTCTAAAGCATGGCGCTTATATGATCCAATCACAAAAACTGTGGCCATTAGCAGAGATGTAGTTTTTGAGGAAGAAAAGAGCTGGGATTTGAGCAGATTAGAGCTGGAAACCAAGCCAGATGAGGTGATTTTTGGAGATACAGATGATCTTGCTGCAACGACTGAAAATAACACTAATATTACAACAACTGCAAATAATAGTGTTGATAACAGTGAAGATGGGAGCAACAACATACACCTAGACAGTACTGCACCAAGTTCACCTAAAGGGAGGGCAACACGTGCAAGGAGAGCTCCAGGGTGGTTAGCAGATTATGACACAGGGTTGTCAGAAGAAGAAACCTTAGCAGTAATGCTTGTAACCGAATCAGACCCGATGTCATTTGAAGAAGCTGCAGGGAGTAAACATTGGAGAGAAGCCATGGTTAAAGAAATAGAAGCTATAGAAAAGAATCTCACATGGGAACTTACGTCTTTACTGGATGGAGTTACACCAATTGGAGTTAAATGGGTTTTTAAAACCAAACTCAATGCGAAGGGACGAGTAGAAAAACACAAAGCAAGACTTGTAGCAAAAGGGTATGTCCAAAAACATGGAATTGACTACACTGAATTTTTTGCTCCGAGTTGCTAGATTGGATACCATTAGATTAATTCTAGCTACCATTGCTCAATTTAGCTGGAAGGTGTTCCAACTTGATGTCAAGAGTGCCTTTCTTCATGGAGAACTTAAAGAAGATATATTTGTCCTACAACCTGAAGGTTTTGTGAAGAAAGGAGAAGAAGATAAGGTATATAAACTAAAGAAAACATTGTATGGTCTTAAACAAGCACCTCGAGCTTGGTATCACAAACTTGAGACCTACTTTATACAAGAAAATTTTGAGAAGTGTCCTAGTGAACACACATTGTTCACTCACTCACAGGGAGGTAAAATTTTAATTGTCAGTTTGTATGTTGACGATTTGATATTCACTGGAAATGATAGAATTATGTGTGAGGAGTTTAAACAGTCCATGATGGCTCATTTTGATATGTCTGATTTGGGGAACAATGAGTCACTTTCTTGGTATTGAGGTTAAACAATAATCGACTGGCATTTTTATTTGTCAAAGGAGGTATGCACAGGAGATATTGTCTCGTTTTGGTATGCAGGACAACAATGCAGTAAAGAATCCCATGGTGCCAGGGACTCGACTGTCCAAGAATACGAAGGATGAAGGTGTTGAAGAAACTTTGTTCAAACAATTAATTGGCAGTCTTATGTATTTAACTGCCACTAGGCCAGACTTGATGTATACAGTAAGTTTACTTAGTAGATTCATGACCAATCCTACTACAACACACTGGTTGGCAGCAAAACGCGTTTTGAGGTACATCAGAGGTACGATCTGTCTTGGCATTTGGTATAAAAAGGGAACTAGTAGTTTAAGACTACTAGCCTTTTCGGATAGCGATTATGCTGGAGATTTGAACAATAGAAAAAGTACTTCAGGCTACGTATTTATACTAGGAACAAGGGCAATTTCTTGGGCATCTAAGAAACAAAATGTGGTAGCTTTGTCAACAACAGAGGCAGAGTATATGGCGGCATCTCTATGTGCTTGTCAATGTATTTGGCTAAGCCGATTGCTAGAACAAATTGGGCTTAAGAATGAAACTGTAGTTGAGATTCTATGTGATAATAGTTCTACAATTCAGCTATCCAAACACCCAGTGTTTCATGGGAAAAGCAAACACATAGATGTCAGGTTTCATTTTTTAAGGGATTTGGTGAATGATGGAGCGATCAAGCTACGATTTTGTAGCTCTCAAGATCAACTAGCAGACATTATGACAAAACCTCTAAAGCTGGACCAATTTCAAAGGTTGCGGACTATGATTGGAATAACTAGTGTAGATGCATTAGTTTAAGGGAGGGATTGTTAAGGTTTTTCTGTTTTATTTATTATTCTGTTTAGCAATTTGTTAATAGTGCAGCATTTACTCCTAATCTGTAGGGCAGTTTCCAATAAATTAGGGTCACACTCCAACTGAGATCTATTCTGTTTCTCAGTGACTTTATTTAAGTTAGCAGTTATCTTTGAATAATATACAGCAATTTTACAGCTTCTTCTATTTTCCATTTACGTTAACCTTTGCCTTCCTACACATTTTATATCTTTCAATAGTAGATGATTTTCTTACTCATCATTGTACAAATATAAAATTAGAGTAATATGTATGATAAAATACTATAAAAATATAGGGAAAAAATATCATTGGTAGTAAAAAAATAGAAGAAAAAATGTAAATAATAAATAGTATTATAAACTAAAGTTATTAATAAACATAAAAAATAACACTTTAACAAATTTCTAATATACAGATGTGAGATATTAGAATTATTTTAACATTTTAAAATATAAAATTCAAAATTTAAAGATAAATTAAACTTTAATATTTGAAAATTTTAAAATAATCATATTTATAATTTTTTTATGATACAGAATTCAAATAATCATATGCTAGTACTCATGGTCTTGGTTTCAAATGCAATTAATGCCAAAAAATTAAATGAAAAAAGTGTTAAAATTTAAAATGAACCCTGTGGAAATAAAAATACGATTGAATTAATGATTTTTTAAAAATAATATCATTAAATAAATTAGACTGGCTAGATTTAATTTTGAATATGTTGAATAGGGACGATAATGCGATTTGTGTCCTATTTGTCGAAGACAAGATTTCTAGGTTGAAAATCTCCATCTCCTCCTACAGATATGAATATGGAAATTATCCGGACCCACTTGCATATTAATTTAAAAAAATTGACATATTATTTAGTAATTTATTATTTGTCTTTGAAAAATAATGTTCGATTTATCTCACTCATGATTTATTAATTGACCTTCTCTCGACAAAATCATGATAATGAACAATATTTTAAAAATAAAATTTAACGTTAATAATATAATTATAACAAAAATGATATTAAAACACTTTTTTTAAACGAAATATTTTTTAATTATAAATGATTTTAAATTAATAAAAAATAATTATAATAAAATCTTTTATTATTAATAATTTAAAATTAATAAATAATAATACATTAAATAAATCTAAACAATGAAAAAAATAAACATAAATTAGGCTGAATAATATCAAAATTTATAAATAATTTATTAATTTAAATATTAAAAAAATATATAATTAATCAACCCATCTGGCCCCAAAATTTCACCCACACGAGTTATGGATTATATGACAGTTATATGAATCAGAGTAATACTGCAAATTAAAAATGCCTCAACCCGCGCAGCATTGCGACCCTAACGTTGATTACGCCGACAATTTTTTTTATTTATTTGAGTCTATGATTAGTATCAATAATGGGGCTTTAGTGAGACCTAACCCAAATAAATTTTGTTTCTCTTAATAAAGTTATTCCCCTTTGTTCATAACAAAGACGTTGGACCTTTCACAGCATAATTAAAGAATTGAACAATGTGAAAATACTGTCTAATAATTTGTTTATCAAACCTTCAACTTCCACATGTTTCAACAACTTCTCTTATTTACTGGGCCAGGGTTCAATAATTCAACCCTCTCGTCTTTCCCACCTCAAAAAGTATAATCCAACAGAACCCGTACACTTCCATTGAATATTCCAATCTTATCCTAAATATGTGTAGTTCCATAAAATAATGATAATTAATAACGATGGCGATGGATGATATAACATGTGCTAACAGTAAAAAAAAAATATTAGCATACCTTCAAAAAATAAAAACGTTAAAAAAGTATTAAATCTACTTCACCAATTATCATTTATATAACCAGTTTAAAACTTAAATTTTACTTGAAAATAGGAGGTTGTAATTCAAATGGCCTCTAGAGTGTAAATCAGGCTGAAAGTGGTTTATTTGAATCTATTGAACAAAATAAAATTGTTTCAATTATAATATGAGTAAAAATTATATTAACTACGATTTATTATGGAAATAAAAGGTAAAAAAATTGTTAGATTATTTTGTTTTGGGTTGGGTTAATTATGTTTTTAGTTCCTCTATTTTGACACGAAAGTAAAAATAGTTTTTCTGTCATAATTTATATAAAAATGATCTCTATATTTTTGAAATGATTGAAATAAATCTTTATTTTAAATGGTATTAAGTATATACTTGACCTATCTGAAAGAAATGGTACGACTCATTCATTATTTGACATATATAATTATTTAAAAAATAAAATTAAATAAAATTAAAGAGTATCAAACTTTTAAAAGTCATTTAAATATGTATTTATAATATTTAAAACTCATTTAAAAAGAAATTTAAACTTCTCTGCCATTTATAAATCATTTAAACTTCTCAACCTTAATTTTTGAAAATAAAGACTATAGTATGATATATCACTGTTGCATATTGTTATTATACACCATTTATCACATTGTCGATCGAACCACAACGAATCGATAAAACCCTCGAATTTCAATGTCATTTTGCCTTCATACTATCTTTAAAAAAAAAAAAAAAAAGGACTTTCATGTGGGAGAAAAAGAAAGAATGAAAAGTTTTTATGATATGAATAAAATAACTTTGATACCTGAACAGAAAAAAAAAATTTATTTTTTAATTTTGTTTTTTTTATATAATAATATCTGATCAATAATTTTTATTCTTTTTAAAGAAAAATTTTATTTTTTTTAAATGAGTTATATTAACTTTATCATACATGTCACTATATATTTAAATCATTTCAAAAATATATAAAATTATTTAACCCTATTCTTTTAATGTTAACCTGCACGTATCTTCAAAAGATTTATACTCCGGATTGGTTGGTGACCTGCACTATCCTGGTTTGCTTGCCAGTTGTCAAGATCCTATTATATATATATATATGCTTCCGGGGGGTTTGTGCATTTCAGGAAGAATTGGTTATGGAGATAATCTTGCTCCTGCTTATATGCTCTCTCACACCAATCTCACAGGGATTAGATAGATCTCCACCTTTTCTCTTTGGCACTGCTTCTTCTTCTTACCAGGTTTGCCTTCATCTTCATGTTTAATTAATCTTTTTTTCTTGTGTTTCACCAATCACTATTGCCATTAATGATCCCATAACCAAATTCCGAAGTAGCTCTAAGAACTTAACCGAAGTCTTTGTGTTCCAAACATGGTCCATTTAATGTTCTTCATAGTATGAGGGAGCTTACATTAGTGATGGCAAAGGATTGAGCAACTGGGATGTCTTCTCTCACATAACAGGTGACCAGATAAAGAGCCTCAAACCAGTTTTTGTATTCTAGTTGTGATTTTCTTGTAGTTTTACACATTTTCAAGCTTTCAACTTTAGCAAGTCCATATAGTGCAGGTAGTATATCTGATGGAAGTAATGGTGATGTTGCTGTTGATCAATACCATCGGTATCTGGTAAATTTCTGTTCAGTTCTATAGATTATATTTATAAATCGTATTTATTTACTAGAGAGATTGACCTTATAACCATATATCATTTTGAAGAAAAAAAAAAAAACAGTAATTACTGGATAAACGTTATAAATGTTGATAAGAATCTAACTTCATTTATTTAAGGTTTTTACAACCTCAAAACTTGAGAAATTGGTCCTCATTAGGCACTATAAGTCAGAATACTTGAACAAAAGGTATTCATTGGCTAAACGAAGCCAATATATAACCATGAATTATCTTGCAATTTATAAACACTGCTTCTGAATTATTAATATTGTTTTACCCGTTTTAGTTCTTTTAGATACCAAAGGAAAAAATGGCATTAAATTAGTCCAAGTAACAGATGTTCCCGATTTCAACTTGTAATGAAAACAGGAGGATATTGATCTAATGGAAGCTATGAAAGTCAACAGCTACCGGTTTTCAATATCATGGGCAAGAGTTCTACCACGTATGCTTCTTGCTTTAACAAAATATGTGCGATATCAGCTGAGACACTAACTTATAGATGCGTTGATTGTAAACAGATGGTAGATTTGGAGAAGTTAACTTGGCGGGTATCAACTACTATAACAGACTTATAGATGCGTTGCTACTCAAAGGTTTCATTTCGATTTTCCTATTCTATTATTGACTTGTAAGACACAATTTCGAGATTTTTGACCTGTATCCGTTTTCAATTGTGCAACTCGCAGGAATCCAACCGTTTGTAACATTATTTCACTTTGACATCCCTCAAGAACTTGAGGACAGATACGGAGGTTGGCTAAGTCCCCAATCACAGTAAGCAAAGCAAACACTTTTCCAATTAACGCAATTGGGATTGTTCTCCATGTACTAAATAACTAAATCATAATTACCAATTTTTTGTCTAGGAGATTTTGACTTTGACTTTAAGAAACGGGATAATGGTTCTAGGCATATTTTGATATTTGCAGGGAAGATTTTCAATTCTTTGCAGATATATGTTTTAAATCCTTTGGTGACAGAGTAAAGTATTGGGTGACTTTTAATGAGCCGAATTATCTAGTCCCACTTGCTTACCGCGGAGGTAGATTTCCACCATGTCGCTGCTCTAGCAACTTTGGAGATTGCAGTGAGGGAGATTCAGAGAAAGAACCCTTTGTGGCAGCCCATAATATGATCCTATCACATGCAGCTGCAGTTGGTATTTATAGAAACAAATACCAGGTAATTTGATTAGAACATCACAGTAATCCTAGAAAAATGCTGGTTATGCAACAAATCAAAATGTAAAGTATCACGGAGCACTCGTTAAAAACATTACAAACTTGCTCTATGATAGTATTATTAATTGTAGTATTATTGATGGCATATCCAGACTGAGCAAGGGGGGAAAATTGGAATAGCCCTACACTGTGACTCGTTTGAGCCGTTAAGCAATTCCACAGAAGATAAATTGGCAACCGAAAGGGCACTATCATTCAACATCAATTGGTAAATTTTCCTTGTTGTTTACTACAGATTTCATGTTTGAGGCAGTTAGAGATATTGATATAATAGATTATAGTTAGGTAGTATGATAGACTGGAGCAGATAGAGGTTAGTTGAACTCGCTCTTGTATATGAAACTAGGTAGATTCTCACTATGATGGGAACATTCCTTTCAGAAAGTTAAGGGAACATTTTCTCTCTCACCATGAGATTATTGTTAATGCGGACCAAAAGAACTTGGATGATGCAGAGGGAGAGAAAATCAGATTCCAAAAGCTAGAGCTAAACGCAATCGTGTCAAATCAAAATGAACAAAGGACTTCGTAGTATGGGAAACGGGTGTATTAGGTTGTTGTAGCCACTGTGACTTGAAAGGGCTTAGCTCTAGCTTGTGGAATCTCGTGATTTTCCTCATCAAGGTGTCATCAGGCTCACCAGAAAGAGGCAAAAGGGAAAGAAGTGATTGTGCAACCCCTCAATCATAGGCCCGAAAGAGGAAGTTTGACTTTCTCCCCCTGCTGGATCATTCAATTTCTTTTAGTCAGCGTTAACATTCATCTCAAACCTTCTAATTACCTAACTATCAAAAACTAAACCAATCTCTAATATCTACAAGTGAAATGTTTCTAATGTAGTCTCTAACACATTCTCTTTTATTATTGAAAATCTATCAGAAATCATGAAGTCTTCATGATTTCTCTGGTGATTTTGTAATTTTCAGTACATTTTAAGCAATAACAGTAATATTGTTCTCAGCTAATTCAACTAACTGCCTAACTAGGCTGGTGTGTCGTTTGACTCTAAAATATAGAAATAAATACTCCCAACTATAATCATGCAGGATCTTGGATCCAATCTTATTCGGTGAGTACCCAAAAGAGATGAAGATGATTCTAGGAACCAACTTACCTAAATTTTCAAGTTATGAGAAAGCAAAACTGAGGAGAGGACTGGATTTCATCGGAGTCAACCACTACGCAAGTTATTATGTACGAGACTGCATATCATCAACGTGTGAGCATGGAAAGGGAGTATCGAGAACAGAGGGTTTATATGAACAAACTGCACTGAAAAATGGTGTCCCAATTGGAGATCTTGTAAGTACTTCAACTTTTTTTATGATCCTCATCTTAACCTTGCTGTTCTGAAACTTCTATTGTAATGTAGACTCCATTTGATTGGCTCAATGTTTACCCACAAGGCATGAAGAAAACTCTTATCTATCTGAAAGACACATATAATAACACTCCAATGTTCATTACGGAAAATGGTAAGCGAAGCACGTTAACACCTTTTATTCAAGTCTCTGAGCGTTTCTGACTACACAAACTTTTGTAGGATATGGCATTTTGTATGATCCAGATGTTACCGAGGAAGAATATCTTAATGACTATAAGAGAATACAGTACATGTCTGGTCACTTTGAAAATCTAATGGCAGCAATAAGGTATAACTCTATAAATCATTACAAATATTTCCACCTATATAAGAAAAAATCATCGCATTCTTGATATGTTTTACACTTGACCTTGGACACAAGTAAAATACCTGAGTATTTCTGTGTTGGTCATGTGATCAGGGAAGGAGCAGATGTGAGAGGTTATTTTGCTTGGTCCTTGCTTGACAACTTTGAGTGGAAATTTGGGTTTTCAGTGAGATTTGGACTTCACAGTGTTGATCATGCCACAAAGAAGAGAACACCAAAATTATCAGCAACTTGGTACAAGAATTTAATTGAAAAGTATACGAATGACAGTATTATGTCCAAACAAGACAGAGAAAATAGAAACTGGAACAAACAATTTAAGGCAAAAGCCAACCTTAGAACCTTAGTAAATCCCCAGCCAAGAATTGAACAGGATGGATAAGGACAACTAAGTCCTTTCTATCAAACTTTAATGTAATTATTGTTCAAATTCCACTCTATAAAATAATTGAAAAATAATTATTTTTCAATAATAACCATTTTTATTAATATAATAATATTTAGTATTATTATACTATTAAAAGAAATTATCAACCATATATTCTACATCTAATGGTCAATATATCATCATCCAAATTATTTTCACCATTTTCTATCAACTCATGTATGTGTTGACACTTAGTGGGTTTGATTTCTATTTTTTTTAACTTTTTAAGAACTAAATAAAATATAAAATTAACTAGAGAGATAAAAGGGTTTTTTTCATGGACAAAAACACCAACTGTTACATGTGCAAATACACTGGAGGATGAGTTACAGAGGCTTTTACCATCAACGCAGGTTAAATTACAGCAAAAAAAAGAAAGAATAAATATTCTTTCAGATATTTCCATTTTTTTAAACACTTTAGAAAACATTTTCTTTTAAAAATTTGGATTAAGTACGAAAAATAATATATTGTTTAAACATGATTTCATAAATTAATTAATAATGTAGTTAAAAAAAACTAATAATAATTAAACCTATTTTTAAGACGGTACACAATTATATAGTTTTAAATGTATATCTTTTATAATTTAGCTTTTTTGCAATGATAAAATGTTTTTTAATTTTATATTTTTGAATAATTTTATATTTAATATGAAGGTGTGATGAGTCATTTTAAAGAGATCGAAAGTCTTCGTAGCAAACACTTAGAAAAGGGAGAAATCTACCTAAACAACTTGTCTTAAACTTAAGTTTTGAGAATTCACATATTTTGGAATAATTGAAATGTAATATTTTTTATAAAAAAAATAAAGATAAGAATAATAATCCTTATATACTCTTATATACTTTATTATTAAATAATTATATTTCATTTGGATTATATATATATATATATATATATATATATATATATATATATATATATATATATATATTAATTGGGTAGTATTCTTTAATACCATTTTTTTGTACACATTTTGTAAGAATATCTGTGAGTAAAAATCTAAAAATTAGTATTAGAGTTTAAAAATAAATTGAAATGTCATAGTAAAAATAAAAATTTAAGTAATATAACAGTAAGAAACACATAAATTAATCTCCTAGTCTTTGTTTGGATCTGGTGGTCCACTAATAAATAATTGACGGGTGTAGATTTGTGATAAAAGTGTATATTTAGATTGAGAGAAATATCATGATTTGCAAAGAAATATAGTGGAATCTGAATAATATTTACTTTTTGTTAAGGAAGACAGATAAAAAAGGTTGAGTATATGAGCATAGTAATACTCATTTCATCCTTGTAAAATTTTTTTATCCTCTTTCCATAAAGATATTTTCATCATTTATCATTTTATTATATTATTTAATTTTTAATTACTTAAATTAATCTTATCTCATAATTTTTTCATCTTTTTATTATTCATCTTATTTTTCTTAATCAAAACAACTCATTCTACACTCTTTTTCTCTCAATTTTTTATTTTTCACATTATATCTTTAATCCAATCATAAGGTTATATTCCTATTTATAAATAGTTGTTCCATTAGAAATACCTAATCTTACCATAAAATTCAATTATAGTAATAAAATTAAAAACAGATTAAATGTAAGTATTAAAGCAGAAATCAAACATAATTTTAAATTTTTTTAACTTGGATAAAGAGATATAGATATGTCGTAATTTGAGGAATTCTTATTGAAACGAAAATAAATACAATAAGTGAACGGGAGAAAAACTAGTATAGCCTAAAACAATGGGTAAGACAATATTTATTACTAAATTTTTTGGAAGATTCATATATAAGTTCTCTAAAATACAATGTTAATTATTGCTTCTTCAAGATATACAAGTTTAGTTATATTATTATGCAAATTTATGCGGTTAAAATACGGGTGAAATCAAATTTTGAAGTCATAATTGGCAAAGGAATTTAGCATGAAAAGAATTTGGTTTACAAAAGACTATTCATGTTATTCTAATAGCAAAAATATAAGTATATAGATATTTTGTAATAAGGCAAAATTATTAAAGTGATATAGTTTAAAATTACAATTTTAAATAAGTTATACTTGAAAATACAGCTATACCGATAAGATATACATCTAAACATAGATTTTTATTTTTCCCAAAATCATAAGCAAAATTCTTTTATTGTTATATATATATATATATATATATATATATATATATATATATATATTAAGAATAAAATTGTACAGAATATCTTCACCATTAATATTAAAGGAAACAAATAATATATTATTAATAAATAGTGAATAAATGTAAGACGTTAAATTTGTAAATATACAAAGAGATATATTTAATACTTATTAAATTTGAAGTGCCAAAATCATAAATAGTAATGTAAATTACTAATTACAATCTTACATGTTAGCTAACTAATGACATTAATTTTGTGAAAAAAAAATTGTGTATAACTCAATTAATGTTGTTTTTTAATAATTATGTTGTTAAGACTAGAATACAATTTTATGTTTTTTATTTTTAATTATTTTAGACCTAGTAAATGGTTGAATTATATTTTGAAGTCTCCTATTTCAATAGATTTCAAAATTATGCAAATTTTTTTTCTATTTTTAAAATGTCCAATATAAATTTCGTATCTTCTACGCGAAAATGTTCAATTTTCGCAATGTCTTCTTAAATGTTATTCAAAAGTTCTAATAATGTATGAATATTGGATCTTTTGAGATAATTATAGATCTTGAGAGGTAAATCTAATTGGTCAATAAAAATGGATTGTAATGCTATTTCTTTTTTCTTAGTTTATCCTTCAATGAAAATAATTTTGTACCAGCATGTTATTAAAAAAATTACAAATATCACTTTGAATACTGAACTAAAAACATGAAAGTATAAAAAAGTGAATAAGATATAACTCAATGTGACTTCCTACATATAAATCTTATGTGTTTACATATGAGGGTATATATTAAGATGTGTAATAATTAATTATTTATATGAAAAAAATATGTTTTGTGTTTTGTTTTGAAGATTTTTTTGAGTTATAAGATGAATTATTGGAATGTGTTTTGGAGTTACTTGTGTATTTTGAGAAGTTCAAGTAATAACTTGGTAGGAAAAAAATTAAGAATGACAAAATGAGTCAGTCTATCCTGCTTTAGCATGTTCTACCTCTAACTTGCTAAAAACGGAATGAGACAGATTGATCCGTCATAGTCAAAATAACCTACAGACCCCAACTTGTTCCATCAAAGGGCAGGTTGATAAGCCGGTGGACTAATCCAGTAAATATATTTTTTTATATATATATATTTTTTTTAATATACCTTTAATTTTTAAGTTTTTATTTATTGATTAATATTTTTATTAGATAAATTGAAAAATTACTACATTAATATATTAAAATAGTCAATTATAATTAATAATTTAAGTTTAATTAGTTAATATTTATAATTTAAATTATATATTTTAGTATATTTACATATTTTAACAACATCACACATAAAATAATATTTTTAATTATAATTTTTTTATTTTAATTTTAATATATAAATATTTTTTAAAAGCGGGCTAACGAGTCAGTTCGTCCCGCCTAACTAGGTTAGTGGGTTGGACGAGACAAGTCAAAACAAGCTAATAGATTAAAATTACCAACCCATCTCATCAATTTTGAACGGGTTAGTGGGTCAGTTCAAATACCTAACCCACTTTGTTATTTCTAGTGAAAATTCAAGTTATGCTTAGTCATTTAAGAAGTCTAAGCAATGACTTAGAAACGTGACATTCCAAATTTTGTTTAGTTATTTGAGAAGTCTAAGCAATGACTTAACATTGTGAAAATTCAAGTTATATTTAGTTATTTGAGACAAATTATGCATTTGTGTATGTGCACATACTTCATTCATTCATATTTTCATGGGGGTAAATGAGATCTTTGAAAGAGGGTCTCTATGATCTTCTACCTTAGTTTTGAGAATTTTAGAGTAAATGACCTCTCGTTTGAGTAAGATGAAGACTAACCACAATTAACTATATTATTTCGACTAGTCCTGATAAGCTCGTTCTAGTTGAGAGTGAATTAATAAAGTCATTGTGATCTTATTCATGTACTTCTAGATAACTTAAAAAACGTGTGCATTGTGTGATACTATATACATACAAAGATAAAAGCATAAGAATATTCATATATTGAGTTAATCGGATGAATTTATGATTGAGTATGTATTGATAAGATGATGTTTATACTATTTAATTTTACCCAACTGAGTTAGTTGAGTTCGTTATGATTGAATATGTATTGGTAAGATAATGTTTAACTATGTTTAGTTTGACCTAATTTCTTATATGTCTTTATAGCATATGTGAGAAATATTTTTCATTCCTCTATTTTATTATTTGTTTGGGATGAACGTGTCTTGTAAGGTTGAACACTAACCTTTCCTTCGGATCTTCCCATACGTGAACTTCTTGGCGTGGTCAACCCGTTGTCTTCAATGAATGGTTCTCGACTCCAACTGATGAGGGTACCTGCAAAAATACTTTAACACTCAAGTCAACAATGGGATTTTATGTTTATAAGATTTTGTCGGAATAAAATAACCTTACCCTCTTCTTTAAGGTTGTTGATGTTTATATGATCATGAATGGATGACATGACATGGAGCCCCTTAAGGTGGGACTATATTGGGAGGTGTTATGGCACATATGCCCCACCAAGTTCAAGCCAAAACAAGAACGACGTGATATACTCTCCAAGCACATAGTTTTTTATGTTGAGGTGAAGAGTTTTAAACCTTGTCTAAGATGTATCTTACCAAGGAGACCAGACACATGTTTCCCAATATGAATAATGTACAGTTGGGGATGTGCTTGGTTTTTTATAGCCGCCATGATCTATTAAGGAAAAAGAAAAATGGACAGGAAATTTTCTTTTTGAAATTCCCCGTGCAACCATGGGAAGGAACTC